GCCCGAGTGACGCTGGCATATAGTAAATTAAGTTTGTAACTGTCCTGGAGGTTTTTTTTCCGGGACGGAGGAAACGCCTCGCAAAAAGCAAAGAAGCCGGCACAACTCGAGGTCGAGGAGCCTTCTACTATATACAAGCGGCGTAGGAAGAAGAAAAAAAGGGGGGAGGGGGGGCTTTAGCCCCCTTTTTCTCTTCCAGATATTTCGGACTGTTAAAGAAAACATTACGGGGAAAAAGGGCGTGGTCGAGCTTATTTTAATCTGAAATTATTAATGCATATGTATAGCTACTGTCGCTCTTCCCTGCTTAAAAGATCGCGTAGATGGTCATTCTCAGAAACCCGTTGTCAGAAGGTACTACTTGTCACATGCTTAGTGGTTCGGAAGTTCACAGCTCTGTCTTTGTGACCTAAATAACTGTGCCATTGATAAAAAAAAAAAATAAAATCAATAAAAATAAACATAACGATAAATGCGGGGATAAAAAGCTGGAGAAAAAACAAAAATATCAGGAATTCGCCGGAAGTATTGTATTCTTGCATATTGTGAGGCTCAGAACTTCGAAACAAGTTTCTTCTACCAAAATGTGTACAGGCTAAAAGAAACACGTCCCAAGAACGTGAAGCGAAAGAACAAATGTTTATTTTTTAAGGACGTGCTGAACTTGAACAATATTAGATATATTCTCCCATGAGCTAATTTATTCCTTGACGGGAAAAAAACGATAAATACATTATTTTGTAATCTGCAGATGGCAATGATATGTACTTCTGTAGTGTTAATTTAAATGTGATACCTCAAACAACTCAGACAAAAAAAAAAAAAAACAAGTTTAGGGCATAATTATTCGTAGATACATGTTTGGAAATTTCTTCAAAACTTATCTTGAATAAAAATAATCACATCTTAAGACGACACTAACCTAGGCTACATATAGATTATTCTTAAAAAGTTTAACATCTCTACCATAAATAGCTTCGGCTATAGCACGCTTCAAATATGGCACAAACGACAATCGTCAAAAAACCGTCGTCCTTCCTCGCCCCTTCGGGAATTTATTTCTTTAAAACTAAGCATGCCAGAACATTGAAATAAACGGCATTGTCTTTCGTAAGGAACGCAGCACTGCATGTAAAAATTCGAGAAAAAAGAAATTGCGAATGTACCTCACTCACTACTTGAATTCAAATGAAACTGTCCACCGGTCTTTCGAAGTTCGACGAACGTCGAACTTTTACCCTAAAAGTCGAAGTTCGTCGAACTTTTGACATTTTAGGATTCGAAAGTTCGAAAATTTTCGAATTATCTTGATAAATAAGTTCGAAAGTCGAAAATTACCGAATTTATTAGCATAGAAAATTTCGAAAGTTCGAAAAGCTTCGACCTTTCTAGTGCAAGAAGTTCGAAAGTTTGAAAATCATCGAATTTTGGTCTATCAAGGTCGAAAGTTCGACAAGCATCGAATTTTGCAGCGTAAGAAATTCAAAAGTCCGAAAAGGATCGACCTTTTCAGCGTCATAAGTTCGACGGTTCGAAAAGCGTCAAACTTCTTAGTGTAACAAGTTCGAAAACTCGACTTCCGTCGAATTTTACAATATAGAAAGTTCGAAAAAACGAAATCTTTCGAACCTTTCGAACCGCTTGATCCGATAATCGAAACTGCGAATATCGCGTCTCCAGCTCGACGCTCGCCCTCCCGCGGCGGAAACGGGAAGCGCTCTAGTGAGGGTCCCCCGATTCTCCTGCTCAGCGGGCACTGGGGCGGAACTGCTCGCGATCATGGCTCGCAAAATGTTATTTCTGAATGCAAACAACACTCTTCACTGTCCCAACGTAGTGCTGCAGCCGGTATGAAATTGTACCTTACTGGAGAGTTTTAGTATTGCGCATAGAATGCGCATAGAATGCGCATAGAAGCAAACGCAAGCGGTGTGCGTATGCGTTAAGGCTCGTTCACACTCTTGCGACCGAGTACGACTGAGATAGACGAGACCGGTTTTTAAGCCTCTTGCGATCTCTTAGGACCAGCTCCTCCGCGCTGCAGCGGAGCTGGTCCTAAGAAGTCGCAAGAGGCTTAAAAACCGGTCTCGTCTCTCTCAGTCGTACTCGGTCGCAAGAGTGTGAACGGCGCTTTAGAGTTGCGTGCCCCCCATTGTGCGTGCGCCTCATCGCCATGCGCCATCCAAAACCGCAATTTTGGGCTCCGTGCACGCGCAGTGTGGAACACGCAAAGCTAACGCAAACACACAGCGCTTGCGTTCGCTCGTATACGCAATACTAAAACTCACTACTGTTTCACCGGCTTCCAACGCCAACGAAACGTGCTGCAGTGAGCAGACGTGCAAGCAGGTAGGCGTTCCTTCGAACTGCAAAGGCTGAGATTGGCAAAACGACGGTGCGTAAAAATAAAAGTAACTAAATGTCATAAAAAAATTCATAATTAAACTTTTTTTGTTAACTTTTGGGCATTTGGTCTGGAAGGACCAAATAACGGCGACTTTGGACGTTTTGTCGATTGTCAGACGTCGCGACTTTGAGAGCAAAATATACTTTACCCACAATTAATGTAATTTTACATGGATTTCTCACATCAGCTAGAATGTTTTCATTGATTTTAGACAATATTTTTTTTTTATTTTATTACTTCGTAATTAAAAATGCTGCAATTGGCACCAGTGATGATAATTAGCACACTTTTGATTGTTATGTTTGTTTGCGGTGCTATAAAAAAAACACACACACACACTTCAGCTGTCTGACTCGGATACCGTCTTTGGGTTGTTGCAATGAGAACGGCGTTTATTAATTTATACGTTTTGTGGACATACTGTAAAAATTGAAATTATTTTCATATTCTTTTGCTGGGAATAATGTTAAACCAATTAAACACCTAAATACCCCAAAACCCATTAAAAGGCCCGCAGTTCATTATTTTCCATGATCCAACACACAAATATTAGCACTGATTTTTTTCAACGACTACAAATATCAGCCTGGATCGAACACGTATGTCACAAAATAAAGTTTCTGCGAACAACTTCTTTAACTAAATAATTACGGTGTGAGACACATCTTAAGTGATGAGAGAATCCGAAGTTAAAACTTAAAACCTATATGAGGAAATTAAATTCAAAATAGATGTTAGGTTCGGTTTCACTCCAGAAATAAAACGCGCATCCTTGCTTAAATATTACGCTAAACACCGTTCTTGTTTTCAGGGTAAAGAGGTGACCTGCGCTAATAACACCCTAGCTTCCTCGTATTACCGGAAATAATTTGTGTCGCTCAGTGGAGCCAGCACACTTGACAGGCTCAACAGCGGCACGCATTGAGTGGCGCCACCTATAGTTAGTTGGAGTCGCGAGCAACGTATGTGCAACGGAGTCATCTTTCTGGTCCCTCAACAAGTGCCACTAGTACCACGGTCCTGTGGAGATGTGTGCGTAAGTCGACGACAGCGGGCGGTGACGAAGACATCCTCAATGTATCAATTTCTGTGACCTGTGAAATTAGTTTTTTTTTTTTTTTTTTTTGTGTGTGTGTGCGAACTTTTGTAAGTTCGCACACTCAAACCGCAACACTGGAGCTCCTAGTATTCTAATTGCCCTGTTTCCCCACTCACAGTTTGGGGGAGCTTTTAAGAATGATCAAAATTTATATCACCAAATTTAACTGTTCTTTTATATATATATATATATATATATATATATATATATATATATATATATATATATATATATATATAAATTTTTTAGCGGTAAATTAAGCGAAAATATGTTAAAATTTTGCGGTATCTGGAGGATGTTATTGATTTTTAGCGGATTTCTGACGCCCAGCGATGGCAACACTGCTAATGGTTCCTGATCATACCTAAAGTCTAGGAAAGTAGAAACAAGAAATATTCGGCAAAGAAACAAACAGATTAAAAAAGAAAAATATAACGCGACAATCCCGAGCATTTGGCAGGCTCAACTGGCTCATGCTCATCCGTCTCTCTCTCTCTCTCCCCCACCCCCTCCAACCCGGCGAGGAGGAGAGCACATGACAGCCCTTACCCTCACCATGATAGACTGTGTTGACAATCCCGATTTCTGTACGTTACAAGCTTCTTTCTGTGCCAATAAAGCAGGCATTCTTGAAGGTTTGCCAATAAAGAAACGTTTACGCACACTGATTTCAGCCACCATATATGTCTCAACATTATTATCCTCGGTCACCCAATTGAAGAAAACAGTTTCTCTAAGAGCGTCGCAGACTGATGATCGTTACCCCGAAAGACAAAATAAGCTGCAGACGAATAAAAGGGATTCGCGTATGCTCGCGTAGTTCAATGGATTGCCTTCTGCCGGGCCGGACACAGCGGACCCGGTAGTGCGAGCAAAGAAGCTGGCATGCCTCCCCCACCCCCTTCCCCGGAATTTAGAACTCAACGTGTACGAAATTAGCACACAGACACCCCCGAAACCCCCCACTGAAATTTTACGCCCCCCCCTCAGATTGGGTAGACCCAGGTAGACCGCGGAGTGCGCGACACATAGGGATGGTATAGGTGTTGCACGCGTGCTCGTGAAAGCGACGTTCAAGACGACATGCACGTGCTCGTAGCGTTGACCTCGCTCGCCCTTAAAATAAAAATGCACATGGAAAAAAACTGCAATATTTAAAAAAAAACAAAAGACCAAAAAAAATGTGCGCGGAAAAAGTTTGCGCAGTCGGCAGGATTCGAACCTGCGCGGGAAGATCCCAATGGATTTCAAGTCCATCGCCTTAACCACTCGGCCACGACTGCAACGGGTACAGCTGATGTTCAATGATGCTTATAAATTTATACAAAATTTTACTACTCATCTTTTAGATTTTTTATTTATTTTTATGTTCTTTAATTGTTTTCACACTTTCCTTTTTGTTTTGGTTTATTTAAAATTTCAACCACAATGCCTGGAAAGTTCACTACTACATTCAGCATACTTAAAACAAATCCAAAACAACTCAACAACCGATCACTGTTCTCACGTTCGCTTTTTATTTCCATATCGCAAAATCACCGTTTTATTTCTTCACTTTTACCACAGCATTGAACCATAACTATCGACCGGCTAGTCCCGATCCCCCATTTGTTCCTTTCAACACGATTCTTCGCTGCTCTCTGTCGGTTCCAAAATCACTCGCCGAGAACTCGAACGCTCACTCAAACTCAATCCACAGCCATTGGAGATCGACAGATCACGCTCACCGTCAGTGCTTTTGCGCCTCCAAAAATCACTCGCACTCCATTTCGGCGTCTTCGGCGCCTTCGGCGTTCTCCGGTTCGTCTTGCGCCGGGGGCAGTGTCCGCTCCACGATGTCGAGGATGGTCTGCATGTCGTCCTCGGAGAGTCGCTCCTCGTTCTCCTCGATCAGCAGCTGGATCTCGACGAAGGTGGTCGGTCGGTGGTTGATGAGTTGCAGCTTCTCCACTTTGGTCAGCGTGAAAGGGAGCGCGCGGATCTCTTCGAGGAACTTTTGTACGTTCTCCTCGCTCTGACGGGCGCACGCGGTCTGTTCGAGGTAGGTGACCGTCTCGTACGACACCGTGGCCAGGTTCTGGACGTGCTTGGCGTGTTTGCCGGACTTGGGCTTGTCGCTCTGCAGCTCCTTGAGCAGTTTGAGCACTTCGAAATTGCTCAGGAAGGCCGAGCTTTCCTTGATAATCTTCATTGCGGGTGGGCCGCGTTGGACGCGTACCGCCGCATGTGCGCTCTGCGCCACACGAACGACACAAACCGGCGTCCCAACCACTGTGGTCCCAACGTCAACGTTGCACCTAGTGATGGGACGAATCTTTATCCGAATCGAGATTCGGAGACGAATCTGAAGATTCGGAAAGATTCGGAAAAGTAGCCGAATCTCAAGCGATTCGGAAAAGTTCGGAAAGATTCGGAGCGTTGCCATGGTTGCCAAATCACGTTGATGTGTGTTTCAACTTTTCGTGATATTAAATTAAATAAATTCTACAAAGTGCACGAAATAATATTGTAATATAATATTAGAGTAATAAATAATATGTTCCGCTTTGTTAATATTATTTTGGATGTTTATCGAGAACGGTAGCCTAGCCAGACATCGCGGAAAAATTGGTTTCGGTTCCGGATCACGACCCAAATAGGCATGTTGGTGCACGCACGTGGAAACACATGCGCATGTTTTCACCGCCGCAAGAGATCGATGCCGTACATGCTGTTCGGTACAGACATTTCGTGCCCATAATTACTATCGCAGTGGCACACACCACATAAGTGAGTATGTTCAATTCGATTATCTCCAACGAGTGCCCACTGAGGTATTTCTATTGGAACACGGGAAACAATCTGAAACTCCTGGTTAATGCAGGCTTTCCGATTTAGTGTTTGTTTCCGAACAATGAAGTTGTGTTGGACACCCCTGTGTTGTGTTTCTTTTTAATCAAATAAAGTTTATGTACACAAAACTTGCTGCCGAGAACGGAGAAACGACAGTTTTTCTTTGCCACCGGTGCCAGTACGCGGCCTAAGTTGTGACGAGCAACATTCATCTCGCTTTCGCGCCTTACAGGTACAGACATACGCAGCTCTAGAGAAGGAGACGAATAATTTCCTTGCCTGAATATATATTTATTGTGAGTTGCGCCAGATCACATATAATACACAGCGTTTCGCTACATTTCACCGATCACCGCGAAACCGCACAGAAAGCGAGACCGTGCATTGGTTAGGCCTACGTCAACCACATCGATCAGCTCAGCTGGACCTGGGCGCGTGCCAGGGTTTACAATGACAGTACAGTACATACCATACGTTGAAATAAACAAGACGATATCTGGTTATATGCAGGAACAGTATTTAAGAAGCGCACAACTGACCGCATACGCGAGGTTTACGACAACCTTCATGCTGCCGCCTGCATTCAGCGACGAATCTGACGAATCTCCGAATCTGCCGAATATTCGTCGCGAAAAGTTCGGAAATTTCCGAATCTGTTCGAATCCGAATCTCCGGTGATTCGTCCCATCACTAGTTGCACCCGTTGCACAAACAATGTCAAGGCACTTACCTGATTCTGGAGAGCCGAGCAAAGCCGTATACTTCGGAGCCGGGCACTTACTTGCGCCCTCTATGAACTGTGGTATAAAACATTTTTTTTTTTATGATTAAGGTTGTTCTTGAACACTTGCCAACAAGTTCCAGGTATCTTTCCGCAAATTGAAGCACTGGAATCACCTGTCTACAGGTTCTACACCAGTGCGCTGTGAAGACTCCAGATCAATGCCTCCAATGCTTTGCTTTCTGTCTTTTGTTGTTCAGAGTAAAGTGGAAACCTACAGACTGAATAATGTAATTATATCAATTATTCTTGCAATATGATGAAACTTCTTGCCATAATTTCAGCAAGTAAGCCTTTATTCAGAGAAAAATGAAACTCATTATGCCGAGCTGTATCAAACAAAATGTGCATTGTTGTATATAACTATGGTACATCTTCCCAAGTTTTACCTTATGATTCCAACACTTAGCACAGGTACCCCAAATAATACCAATCACAAATTTGTAATCCACACACACATTTCCCACAGATTGGAACAAAATTAGGTAAATGTACTTCTATTTCGAACCTGTGCTCAGTTGAACTATAAAATCTTTCATTTTTTCCCTCCGAGACCCTTAGAAAACATTCTTTTTGTTTCATTGACTAGGAAATCCCCAAAGAAGCGAGGAACATCGCTTTCAAATACTTTTTTTCTAGGGATTGTCTTCAGTATCAGGTAGAAAAAAACGTTATAAAAAGGCTTGGACCTTCATCCCGTCCCGCAGCTATGGCACACTTTGTACCGAATGGCCATCATCAGCAAACAGGAACGGAACGACACAGCTCGTCAACCACATAACGTATTTTGGTTATCGCCGCATCCACATCATCGCTGCTGACGTCATTGTGCAAGACCGCTCTTGCTTTGGTGAGGCTGATAGGGATCATCTTGACCGTAATGGCTTCATCGAGATCTTCGAATTCCCTGGGGCTCACCTAAAAATATGAAAAAATAACCATTAGGAAAGGATGTTCTTTTGTGAGAGTTCAAGCACCTATCTTCGGCGAGTCCCAAGAATTCACATGCCTTTTGGAGACGTTCGCAGAATGTGACGGGGGACAGCTTTCCGTCAATGAAGTCATAGACCGCCATGTTGGTCTGAACCGTGTCCAGATCCATGCTGATGAAGGGGTTTTCCCGAAGACAGACACCTACGAAAATTTGATGAGGCAATTCATTAAACCTGTAGTCGTTACATACCCTACCATGTCTGTGCTAAGTAACTATATTTAGAAGTAATTTGATCACCATCTTCGACCAGTTTTTATTATATCGGTACTTGATGGGTTGCAGTGGATTGATACACTGTGATTTCGACCATAATTTGACGTTCTTCGACAGCTTGTAACAGCGCATTGTTTCTTGCTGGTCTGAAAGCAAACGCTACCAGGACTATGCTCCTGTGCATGCAAACAATTGCAGAACTGACCCACAATACTAAATTCAATTTAGGCTCGTATACCTTCCGCGACACAGATCTTCTTGGGCCGCAACTTTAGATTTGTTCAAGAAACATAAAATTTCAATCGTACGTCATGTTTTTCTTTAGCCTCACCAGACAACCCAATAACGCTGGAAGTTTACGACATGTAGTATCCTTTTGTACCGACAAAGAATACCTATCTGTTAATCAGTGAGGAATAGACTTTTTGCCCAATTACCCAAGCACCAAGAAGATTCCTGGGAATGCAGGTACATGTGCTGCCTACATTCACCTTGCCTGTATGAAAGATTCGAAGTAAATAACCAAAATATGGTGTTGATAAATGTGTCTGCAGAGTGCAATTTTCTTTTTTAGTTTTTGCTTTAGAATGTGGTTACTGCTGCAGATGTCAGCTTGTGCACCACATATAATTGTACTTGCACATGCTACTTGGTGCTTGGGTGATTCGGCAAAAGGTCCATTTTGCACACAAGGTGAACGTTCACCAAATGTCAAGAAGTAAGAAGGTTGTCAAGAACATCAAGATTGATCACTTAAAGGGCAACTCCGCTTAATTTCAAAAATTTTGAGATAGTGGCCGATTTTGTTTTTTGAAGCACTCAAAAACAATCCCCGATCCTTTGTTTCGCGAAAAATGAAATATTTTTCGTGTAATTTTAATCTAGCCATGATCACAAACCGAAACCGAAACGGTGGCAAAGCCGGACAACATTGTATATTCGGCATCACTAAGCATGTACACCCACGTGATATACAAGGGGAAGAAGGAGCTCCCCTCTTATCAGGATCCTCCTTTGTGCCTCCTGGATTAGCACAGGCGTCGCTATTCTCCTCCCAGAAGATTATAGAAGATTAACCTGTCACTCAAAATTCTTACAAAAGCAGCTTCCCTCTCCTCCTTTTACTTGGTGTTCAAAAGTATGCGATGTAACACAAGCCGGCGCTCAACGAGGCGATCGGCTTATCAGTAGTATCAATGGTCGAGCGCCGGGCCGGCCGAGCACGTCACTCACGTCTTTCACGGCGCTGGCGCCACCCGTGCTCTCCCCGGGAAAGAAAACAAAATTGAAAAAAAAAAAAGAAGCTGTACATGTTTGATGACGTCGCGGACGTGCCGGGAGAAGGAATTTGGAGGAAGCGGAAATGCAGCCGGGCAGTGTTGTCTGGCCCGCACGTCTCATCCAAAACCAGCGGATTCGTGCTTGTCAAACTTTGACAGCGATTTTAATGAACTTCTAGGCGGAATTCCGTCGTAATATTTGCCATGGGGGTTTTGTAGATAATAACAAAGAGAACTGTATAGTTTTGCACTACTGGAAAAGAAGCGGAGTTGCCCTTTAATGCTTTTGATGCAACAGCTAAATTTCAATAGGGCACCTTTCCTAATATTGTTTCACGCTAAGTGTCCACAGTTACAAAACAATCATGTCTTTGGTTGTCTCATGAAAACCGTCCAAATAGGTTATCATCAAAATTAAATTACAATCTGACATCCTTGCACGTTACCATCTCCACTGCTGTTATCTCCAGCAAGAATTCGAGCTTTCTGCAGTGCATTATTTCATGACGTAACACAGCACATTTACTTTTCTAAAAAAAAAAAAAAAAACATGCATGAATGGTCATAGATACTGAACATCATAGTATTCATCCCGGCATGTCCCAACCAAACAAAAGCGAGAGCTTGGATGGCAACTGACCTCTGGCGAGGCGTTGCGCATTCTCATGGTCTTCATGTAACCGAGGCAGGATTGTCTTGAGGGCCACAAGACCAGCAGCGGCCAAGATGCCAACCTGCCTCATACCACCTCCGAGCGCCTTCCGCACCCGGGCAACCCTGCAATGAAGCGTCTGTTGTGGCAGTGACCTCCTGACCCAATTTCTTCCAAGGTTTAACATTCATGGTTCACCTAAAGACCATATAAAAGTTCTCTACAGATTGATCAAAAAGCCAGTTATCATATTTTCTGGTCTATAATTCGCCCGCTCCTAAAAACGGTTATTTTCATGATAAAGTTAGTATATAAGACGTGCCTTTGAATAAGTTGCGTTTCTTTGGGTGGCTGCAGTATGACTGCACTGATGGCTCTTGTGCTCTTGTGATTGCGTCATATGTGCACCAGTAGAGCAGGCCATCTGCATGTGCTGTGCTGTTCTTCCTGTGTTAAATGTTGATAGAGTCTACATCTTGCACACTTAAGGCCTGCACTTCTGAAAAATATTGCATATAAGTCACACGGTTGTATATGACGCACCGATGGAAATTTGTAAAAAAAACTGCGACCTATCCACCGGAAAATTTAATATGTTCCTCAACAGCACATTTCATAAATTTGTGGCTGCAAAGTTTATTGCAAGAACCATTGCTGAATCATTTATAGCTAATAACTTAGTATATATTATTGTCCACTACAAAATCTTTATCAGGGCAGTGGCCCTCAAATATTTGTCTTCAGCTCTTCAGGATATCTTAGGTTGCTCAAATTTCATCCTACAAGACCTCAGGTTGGCTTTACGACGGTACAATAATGTATCGCAGAGAAGTGCACAATTCTAAAGTGGGGAGCAAACCGCTGATTTTTTTTAATTGTTTGCTCCTTTTACAGTGTTAGTGTGTGCACATAGCATAGGACATTCCGAGCAAGGTTCACATCATTCCTAAATCGAGCCACAAATTCGATTACAAATTTCTAGATAAAGTTTTCTGAAGAAAATGATATTGTAAAATTCCTACAATTAAAGTCCCTGCTTTTTAACGGCTCCAATTAGTGCTCCATGCAGAAGCTTTAGTAATTTACTTTCAAGAGGATTATATCCTGTCATACGTCTAGGAGTCAATTATAAAAGCTACGAAAGCAAGGTCCAAGAGTAAGACAGACAGTTGGAAAGAAATCTTTTGACAAAACAAATTTTGGTTTCTCTAGCTCCTCTAAAGTATCACAAAAGATGTGCAATTTTCAGGAACATGATGTCCTTCTGCTCCAAGCATTTCAAGATTTTTCAACACTTCAACTTCTGTAGAAGTTAGTTTCAGAGCAAGAACACTGAAGTTAGCAAGAAACCTCCACCCGCTCAAGTCCACTGTAGAGCCTTGTTAAAATTAGCAGTTGCAATAATTCTAGGGGAAGGTAACATTACCGTTGCACAAAATCCTTTGATCCAGCAACAAGAGAACCAGCAGGACAGGCTAGTCCCTGCGTGAAGGACAAAAAAAAAACATGGAAGTGCTGCAAAATTACGAGGTATGTAACCTGGTTACAGCCATTATAGTTGCTGTAACATAGTGTAACAACCCCTGACTTTACCTCTGTGTTAAGGAAGACTACATGTTTCATTTTATCTCTATGCTTGTGCAAACTTTCCCATTGTGGCAATTTGTCGGTTTGTGTTCAGCTAGAAACAGCAAAATTTCTGCAGACCGCTTTTCAAGAACTAATTCAACTCCCACATTTTAAATCCTGAGATGTGCAAAAAAAAATACTAAAAGGACGATCTGACACAACAGGAATGCCTCAACCTAATGGTATTACCGATGTCCCAGGTTTTCGATTTTGGTCATTTACCGTCTTGCACGCCCAATCACTCTCGAATAAATCGTAATTATTGGTCATAGATATCTGAACAAAAAAGAAAAGCTAGGCGATTTTTGTGTGAGCTGTGCTGTTGTAAACACTTCCTCCGTAAACATGAAAAATCCAAAGTGAACGAGATTAAGAACCTGCCGTTTCCTGCTGCATAAAAGAACACACGGGATTTATTTTTAGCTCCCTTTTGGGACAATTATGAAACCTGAGGAATATATCTAGTAAAATAATGTTTACTATATACATAGTAGGCAACAGTAGCCATAGCTACTCTACCTCCAGCATCTGTTCATTGCCTTCGGCCGGGCTTTGGCTTTGCGTGCAACGTTACCAAAAGCATAAAGCTCATATTTGGGGCAAAGTATCTATACTGGGTTCTTAAATTGCCGCCAACTATAGATATAAATTTGGCCAAAAGTTATGCTGCACCTCAGAAATATGCGTAAAAAATATATATAAAAAGAAAAACGATTCACACAGTTCCACACTTGCTCCACAGCCGGAGCTAACGTGAAGCTTACTTTAGAGATGCACATCATGACCGAGTCGCACCCCTTGAGCAGCTCCGACACCGGAAGGTCTAGGTACGTGGCGGCGTTCATAATCCTCGCTCCATCCATGTGCACAGGGATTTTGGTCTGCTTGCTGAACTCCGTCACCTGAGGAGGAGGCAAGGGCCACGGTGCATGCTCGTTAACATTGCAGCAACTGACAGGACAAGGATTGCAGGGTGTCTCTTTCAGATGTCCCACCCCCGGACACGCGTCCTTGCCTCTCGTCGTTGTGCTACGGTTCCAAGATCGCGACATAGACAGCACAACACTTTGGGACCGCTCTCGACGCGTGGGCGGAATAGAACGCCGAGCACGTCGGTCGGCGATGTATGCCAGGTAGCGTAGTTGTGCTTTGGCTGTGCAGGGACACTCGAAGCACGCTAGGTCGACGTTGAAGTGTTATTAAAGATATGAAGTCAGCGCCGAAGGCGGAACACTGAGGGCTCTCCCCGCCGTCGTCGTCCCACCAACGACCATGGTACAACCAGTCCGCATCATTTGTTATAATTTGAACTCAAAGTTGACGACTTGGAGTGAATTTTTCCTAGTGCATTCTGTGCAGACGAGATAGTTGGTTCTCAAAAATATTTCTCAAGTTCGGTTTGTGATTGGTGGTTGAAACTATATAAAGAACTGTTTGACACTGACCACTGCGAGACTTTTCCTCTTTAAAAGAACGCCGACACCCCCGAAATTTGTTTTTTTATTTTTTGCCAGGCAACTTATTATGGTGAAAATAATCCCTGGAGAAGGGGAACAAGAGGGACAAAGGACAAACGTCAGTAGAGCAAACCCGTTTGCTCTACTGACGTCTGACCCCTGGTTAGCTCAGTTGGTAGAGCGCTCCACTTGTAATGGAGAGGTCCCGGGTTCGATACCCGGACCAGGCGGATTTTTTCGGTCGCGCACCAGTCACCTAGCTGTGTTTGGAGGTTTGTGTTTGTCCTTTGTCCCTCTTGTTCCCCTTCTCCAGGGATTATTTTCGTCATTCTTGTCCAGCTCGCTTGCACCTTTGCATTTAATTGCATTATAATTATTATGGTGTCAGAAGACTACCAGTCTATATTTTGCTACAGCGTCACATATATTTTTATTAAAGTAAAAAAACGCAACTGCTCGAAACTGAAACCAAAACTGAACTGTGGAGGAAGAAGCAATATAGAAAGAGGGAGTTGCCTAAAAACATGTAACCTAACAACTTTTTTTTTTTTTATTATTAACGTGTTTGCAGCTTCTTAGAGCTCACAAAAAATGGGTATCATTTTTTTTCTATTTTCAATATTGAGTGTGTACCTTCGATGACTCACGAGTGATTATATTCGGTGGTTGTGTCTAAGCCATAGAGAACGGCACATGACCACGGCGGAGAGAGTGAGTGCAATTCAAATCGGCCAGTCCTCGATCGGCGGTTTTCGGACAAAAAGAAAATGTATTTCGAGCCGCAAATTGTGTTCTGGGTAGTTGGGCTCTCATATGTCATGTACAAAGAAAAAAACCTCGGCAAGCATAAATGTCCTTTCAGTGTTCCTTTAATTCAAAAGCAGAACTGCTTCGTAGTTCTTTCATTGAATGCAGTCAATATGTTCCACAAATTTTTGATTTATTACAGTAAAAAAAAAACTGTATTTATATGCCTACATTTAGATCCATTTAGGTACATCTAAATTTTTTAATGTTTTGATCAACATACTACTCTCGCATGCTATTGTTCAGAGTAAACATTGATTCGGCACGACACAAGTTGGCATATATCACAAAGGAAGTAAAAGTGACCTTGTTGAGGTACTCCATGGAGAGGACAGTGCCACTGCAGACATTATGCGTGTTTTCCAGGCAGATCAGGGATGTCTTGGGGCAGTGGAAGTCCCGATATCGCACCCTACGGGCCAGGTCTTCGATGAGAAGCGAACCATCAGGCTGCGTTGGTACCGCCCAGCTTTGCACGGCTGCAATCTGAAAGACGATGAGCATGGCGTTTTTTGTTTGTTTTAATGTATCGTGCATGTGATGCTGATGCCAGCTGATGCGCAGAAAGGCTTTCCCAGCATATGCATAGCATGCAGGGCCAGCTGTTTCTTCAATAAAAAAAAGGTTACAAGCAACATTCCCTCTCAGTACCGTGTGTCAAGAAAAGAGAAGCGTTGTTTAATGTGAAAGCATTAACTGCATCATGGAGCGAGCTGACGTCATCAGTTTGAAGCGCGAAAACGGCACCTAGTTTCCGATTTCGCCTTCGGTCCCATTGGCTGGCGCGTGTCGGTGGGGCTCCCATTGGCCGCTGTGCTCGTCAGTTTCCACGACCGCTCACCCCATGGCGCTAAGTGTCCATCAGCGTGCCGTTAACAAGGAGCGGCCAAGGTCAGCGTACCCAGGGGAGCAAACGCGCTGACCGGCGACGAAAAGTATGCAGCAGATGAAAAAGGGAGCGGACGGGTGGTTTGCATGCTTTCGCATTCACAACTCATAAGAAGCGCTTAGGTGTACCTCAAGCTTTTTCTTTGTGTGAATAACCATAGCATCCTCTATTCTAACAATGCCTGGAAGATCGCCACGAGACACGGCCACCGGAAGCGAAAAGGTAGAGCAGCAGACAATGGATGAGAGGACAGCCATGTAACGGGTGCCCCACTGCGGCGAGACGCTAAAACACATTTCTCTTGAGCGATGGAACGTCCGCTCATGCTCTCCGCATTCCTTGCGCTACCGGTTCTTTTCTCATCGTGTTTGAAAACCATGTTTTGGAATCCTCGCCGCTGCAAAGCTGTGCGCTGATACCAGAAATGTTCTCTGCTACCAGATCCTCGTGCTCCAAGTCTGCGACCAGGCATTCCAAAACTCCGTCGTCGAACTGCCAGGCTTCGCGAGTATACACCAACTCATGTTTACAAACAAACTGGAGCGCCCCTAGCGGACGCCACCGACGCCGCGCATGCGCGGTGGGGGCGTGGGCAAGAGGCTCACCGTTGCCCATAAACAAACCATTGGAATGCAATGTTGTCGGCGTCGGTGTAAGTCCCCCTGCCCTTTTTCGTGTTCGAATTGTTGATTCTACATCTTCCTGGCAATGTCTGACTACTTTAGCAGCGTCAAGCGAAATCACCGAGGCTCGTTACACCGCAAAACTTCGCGTGAATAATGTGACATGCGGCGATTCGTTCCGCGTGGACTATGTACGCTAAAGCCTGATTCGCTCGCAATTTTCAGTCACGACGCTGCTCGGGCTGCAAAAGCGTGAACTGTAGCTGAGATGGTCGACGTCAATACTGAAAGTCGCAAGCGGAATCGGACTAGGGATAAAAAGTCGGTGATGGTCACTGGTAACAATGATCAACATCTCCTTTTACCTACTGTTTACATCGAGCCTGCTTAACAACCTTCAAATTTAAGTCTTTTGAGGCCTGCACTTACTTCTTATCGTAACCGGGCCAACATTTGGTCTACAGGCCGGTGTCTATAAGAGAGCAGACGACAAACAAAAACGTTTGAAAGAGCAGACGACAGTTCGAACGATCAGGCGGCCGTTTGAACTTGAAGACGCACTAAACGTAGTCCGCAGGTGGTCCGCACAACTTGGCAACTTTCTGGCGTTCGTGTTGGAACAAAACAAAGCGGCAGTCTCGAACGAAGCGATTTACAGCGCGTGTCCCTGGTTTTGAGAGTGTACGTGAGTGTTGCCCGACTGCGCTGAGCTGTGGAGTTTCTCGTCAGTAGGCTGTGGCAGCCTGCGTGGGCGCAATTCCGGACGCTGGTGGCGGCTGAATTGCCGCGTTTTCTTTTTTATCTTGTGTTCTGTGGCGAGCATAATTTATTGAGGTCTTTAAGAAAGCAGTGCTCTATTTTTGGGAACAAAAACAAAAAAGAAATGAAAGCTGTTTTGGTGAGTCCGTGCGCGACAGAACAAATGCAACTGGAATGTTTGTTTCATTTTATGTTCATTGTTTTACGGCACCGTAAACTCAACCGTGTCAGTCTATAAAGGTCAAAATATTTGACCACACAGGATATCCGTACTGCATGGATATTCCCCGCCCACAACATAAAATTCAATGAGTCTCATCAATCGAACAAAAAATATATTGTATGTACCCCTCGTTGCTGCGTTATCCGAACAGGATTTGAGAAAGGTCTCAAATAACACAGCATGTCCAATATACAGTGTCGACGATAGTCACTTCACGACGATCGGACGGAATCCGGTATGTTTTGGGGAACATGTAGAAGAGAGCTCCTTTTTTGCGCAGCTTCATAGCAAATGAACGAACGTGCTTATTATGTCGCCACACCCCGGACCCGACCCTATCAGCTAGTTCTTGCGAAGACCCGGAGAACAGCCTGGAAGGCTTCTTGGAGATTATCTCGACGGAAATAATCCTCCAAGCACGTCGAACTGCCTGCGTCGCGGGCTGCTTGACGTTCGCACTCTTCGTTCGTTTCCTGCGAAGGCCGAGCGGGCTACGAGCCCTGGTATTCCCTGGTTCTCACAGTGGAAGAAAACATACAAAGGGTAAGCACCCTAAACACGCGAATAAAATAAAAACTTCCAAGAAAAGCCGGCGAACTCCGAATGCAAAATGCAGGTGGGGAGTCACGCTGACCGGGTTTCCACAGCTCAGGCGGGTGCCAGAAATTTCTGGCTGATAGGGGTCGCTCGATTCGCAAAATGGCGGCGGCCAGAGCGCTCTTTTTGGAAAGGTCTATAAGTATCCGTGAATTCAACCCAAAGTGCTTCCCGCCCAAGCAATCGTTGTCCGACAGCGTCTGCTTTTCCCTTTTCACGGCACATATCAAGGTTCTCGGACGAACCGAGCACGTGAAAACTGACCTTCAAACCTTTCTCGACACTTTTGGTACGGCCCCAGTTGCGGCGTTTTGATGAGAAGGCAGGTTTTTGTATGGTTATTTTCAAAACAATGCAGGAATACACGTGTGGCATGGGGACTTCTGCCCACAGCCCCAGACCGGAAGTGCGACCGACGCGCCACCACCGCGCCGCAACGTCACAGAGTTGAGTTTGTGTATAGAGGAGGCTATAGAATAGCTATGTGCATCACCGAATGTTCAACCTCTGCCTGTAGAACTAGCGATTGGCACCGAATGCCAGAGCTTTAGAACAATATATACTACTCATATATGATTTGAAAGTTACAAGTAATTTTCTGAATTTTTCAATGAGGAGATGGGACCCGTTACCAGCAGCTGGCACCATTCATCTCCATGTGTTTGTAGGCTCAACGTGGCCACCATTCCCACACTGTAAATGTTAAAAATCACTTACAACTTTTCAATCAGATACGCAGGGTGTCTCAAGCGGACCTTCCGCCGTAAAACTAGCAGGAAAAAATGGCACCTGCCCATGAAAAGTTCAAACCTTCAACGAGTGTTCACCACGCAGGTCAGTTTTGACGTTGAAATTCCAAGGTGCAGATCCCTTCCTGTAAAAGATTAGAGGAAAAATCTTGCCGAAGTCAAAGTTGCGCACGTTCGCAGACGGCCTAGTTAGCGACACTGTACTCAACCCCTTAACTGGGGACTTTTTTGACCAAAAATATCTGTAAAATAATGAGTTTTTTTTTTTTTTTTAAGTGTTTCTAGTTTTTGAAGGTATAAGATTAATCTCAAAACCTAAAACAAATTTAGTTATATCAAGTTGGATGTGCACTTCCGCACTTCATACAGTCCGAAATGGATCTTTCACTGTGCTGGCGTCTTGCCAGGTTGCAGCAGACCCCGAAGTTGGTGGTGTTTCCATAAACAATTGTTCCGCTGTGTCATCTTCAACTTTTGAGTCGGATCCCGGGGAGAATTCCACCGAACTCGAGAAATCAACATTGCAGGACGTCACTGTCCTTGCGAATATTTTGTAGCAGCTCAGCGATTTCTTAGTCGGTCGAGGGACACGCTGGCATTTGCTGGACGCCATTTTCCAAACAAACAGTCAAAAGTTTTATATAGGAGTTTTCAACCTTTTTTTGTACTGCCATGTATGCATTGTTTTTAAAACTAAAAATTTTCCGATACATGAGGATAGATGGCGCATCCTACCCACACGCTAAATTGAGCGAGCGTTTAAACACGCGCTTCCCAACAGCAAAGGAAGTGCAGTGCGTCTACAGACGCGCCCTCAATCTGCGGTCAAAATTGATGCGCGTCTAAAGACGCGCTTCCCAGTTAAAGGGAGCGTGTCTTTAAACTGGGCACCATGCGCCAGTCACCGCCACGCGCACCACAGCCGCACCGCACGGCTTGATCTGTATCGACCAGATCGAGCGACACGGCGCCATGCAGAAGTGACGTTGGGACGCTGGCACCGGTTGCTATGATACTGCCGCGCGGTGCAAATTTTCGTTGCTCATGTGTTCCCTACTTTACCTGTGGCGCCATCTCCCGATAGGTACAGCGAGCAGACGACGCACTTTGTTGTCTGCTCATTGCACCTATTGGGAGATGGCAGCATCGCTAACTCGGTCGTTGGCGAACATGCTCAATTTTGACTTTATCGGCAAGTGTTTTGCCCTCATTTTTTACAGGAAGAAAACTGCACCTTGTAATTTCACATGGTAAAACTTACCTGCTCAGTGCACATTCAGTGAAAGTGTGAGCCTTCTATGTGAAGGCATCGATTTTTCCTGCTCGTTTTACGGCAGAAGGTCTAAGTTTTTTAAACTTTAGTACTTGTGGTTCTGAAGCAGTTTTGTATTTGAGGAAACACTTAAATCGTCTTCATTTGACCTCCAAGATCTCAAATGTCAAAATTATTTTTTTAATTTGGTGCATGAAGGTTGGAGAAAATTGTTTTCAAACTACCGGTGAAGGCCCTCCTTCCCGGAGCGTGACGTCACAAAAGAAGTTTTTGGAATATCCGCTGCCACACATCTTTGCCAATCAAAGCTATGCAAGCACACTCTTGTTTTTTAAAAAGGGACAGAGGAATATAAATTTGCGAGCTTTCGATTGCACTCATGACCCTCGAGCAACATCTGCTAGCTTGTCGGTAAAAAGGTCCTCTTATGGTATGTAATGACTGGTCGGAGATTTTTCAAATTTTCTCGAGTTTACTATTATCTACGGAGAAAACAAACGTGATATTCAGATTCAAGGAATAAAACTATGCTAGATCGATCGAATCAACATCTATCTCATTTTTTGAAAGAAGTGTTTCAGCTTTCCTTTAACCTTTGGTGCTATATGTGGGTGAAAATTGAGGGTTATGTGGCAATGCGTAGTTTACATTTGCTTTCAAAAAGACATGGTTCTCTTTTTTTGGAAACACCAGAAGATGAACTGTGTACCATCAAAAACCCAATTTTAGAGGTCTGATATAAAAGTAATTTTCTTTCTGCAGGGAGAAATCCTTTTCAGTTTTTGGCAAGAACTAATTAGTAAGTTTTATAATTTTCCAGAAAACCATATACTTTTCTGGAAAGTTGGAACTTAATTTTTACTCACAATCAGAAAAGCAACATTAAAATATAAATAAGGGAAGGACATGAAGATGAGGACGGACAAGACGTCTTGTCCGTCCTCGTCTTCATGTCCTTTTCTTATTTATATTTTACCCCTACCAGCACACTCTTTATTCAAAGCGCAACATTAAAATATTGTGAGTTTTCTTTGTGTTTGTTTTTGTGTGTGTGTGTGTGTGTGACGCTTCAAATGACAAATTGCTTGACTGTCGAGCACTCATCTATACCAATGGCACCTCCTGGAATTCCTACCTGTGCAACATTCCCTTGCTCGTTCAGGAAAATATGCGACGCATCTCCGACAAGGATCTCTTGTCCCCTCTGGTTGCAGTGAGCCATCACTGCAAAACGAAATATATTGTATACATCCTTACGGGAAACGCAAGACATTAGTAAGACGGACACATATTAAGATATCAGTACAGTAAATTTCACTGCTTAACATACCCGAAGCCAGGTTTCCCATCGTCCCAGTAGGTACCAGAAGGGCAGCTTCTTTGCCGAACATCTCTGCCACCACACTCTCGAGCTCTGAAAACAAGACGTAAAAAAGAAGCGCTTAACGTCCGCGCCTTCCAAGCTCGAAAAGGATTACCGTTGACCGTGGGATCTTCTTTGAAGACATCATCTCCAACTACCGCATCTTTCATGGCCTGTCGCATCTCTGGAGTTGGCTTGGTGATCGTGTCGCTCCGTAGGTCCACAACCCTTGGGTCCTCCGGGTTCTCCATTCTTGCCATTCTTGCAGGATCGTTAATGAAGAAACCAAGCGGCCTCACTTTGCAGCAGCTTTTAAGAGATCTGGCTTGCTCGGTGTAAAGGGGAGCCTGATAAACTTTAATCTAAAGCCGTTTTGTCTCTGCGGTTTTTTTTTTTTTTGTTTTTTTTTTATTGATGTTTTTATGGTGTTTATCATTCCGGCTATGCGGAGACAGATAGCCCACGCGACGTTCGTCTAATCTTTTTCTCAGGGATCGGTTGCTACTCGTATTTTCAGTGGGGCGCGAAATATTTGTTTTCTAATTAAGAGCTTTCTCCAACTGCAGGTGCGGTAAACCCGTAAAGTGACGCAAGACGGCAAGACAACCACAGACAGATGCACAGATGCACAAAAACGAAACTAGTTTCGCCCTGTTTCGCCACATTACTTGACGTCAGGTAACGCGAGCTACCACTGAATAATTAATATAATTTAGTGTTCTTAAATTGTTAGTAATAAATTATATAATTTTTGTTAAATTTTAATAAAACCGAAATAAATAACTAGTTTAAAGAACAAAAATAATAAGTTATATTGTGATGTGCATCTAGACGTCGCTGTATAACCTCCAGTTTGAACAATGGTAGTAAGTTTCTGCTCTACCCATCGTACACCTCCTTGTGTTTATTTTGTGATTGGTAGAGTGCCAAGACAGCTGCTCGGCTTCGAGCCAATCGGGAGCCCCTCACGAATTCGACATGGCGGCCGCCCATAGTGCGTTAGTCGAGAGCTGTGGCAATTATTTATCCGTGGACACGCACGGTCGACGCGCAATTACACGGTTTTAGGCAGACGAGCCGACGACCGATCAAGTTTTCTCGCCCCGGGACATGTTGCCGCCACTCGTGTGACAATGTTTCGCAACAAGGGATGGTTTTCGGGGGGCCTTTGGAAGCCCAAAAACCCACATTCGCTGGAACATCTCAAGTGAGTACCACCCCGTAGCTGCAGGAAAACTCCCATATCCGGGGGCTTCGCTGAGGAATGTCGGTTCTCGACGCAGAAGTACTAAAATCGTGTCCGTCCGCACGACGCCGAAATCCACAAATGAGCGCGGTGAAACATTACGGAACAGTGCAGCGATACCCTACAGGCCTACCCCAGAAGATGGGTTGCGTGTCTCCTGCAAAACACCGAATTTGAGTGCATCGTTTAATTAGTTTATCTGATCTTGGTCCTTAGTATAAGTCTGGGTAGGTTCGGTAGTCTTTATCGGGCTGGTCTGAAGAAACTTTTCTTCTGGCTATACGGTATGCAAAAAATACCTGCCGTCGCTTCGATACCTACGCTTGGGAAATCGTCGTCTTTTGCCGAGTGCATCCGTTGCCTAGGCCGCTATCGCGGCTTTGACCTTTTTTTCTCATTGTTTCATTTTTGCACGCGTCCGCGGCTGCTAATCAAGATAGGCTCGCAGAGATATTTCGCCCAATTCGGATAAGCCGACTTTCCTCCGCGCGCACCGTGCTTCAGCGACTTCACTTCAACCGCTGTTTTCGTTTGACTTTCGTAAACAGCTGTGTTTCTGTTTCTCGCACTAATCTCTGATATCTGCACAACACGGGGGAAATAGAAGAAAGATCTCGTCGCAGTAGTTAGTGGCAGTAGTCTAGCTGACACAAACCCACTGTTGGTTAAAGGCCGACGTACAACCTCGGTTTTCTGCAGGGAAGATAATCCTCTTAGCGCTCCCCTCTCCTAAGTTGCGAGGAGGAGCCCAGTTGGGGCAAGGTAAAAAGTGAGAGGATATAGGAAAAGAGGAGGCGGGCAAAAGTGGAAAGCGCGAAGTGTACGTCGGCCTTTAAACGGTTCAACCAATCACAGATTCAGGCTCGTTCACACATTTGCATCGACTGCACTGCGTTGTGCAGCGCAGTGCCTCCCGATCGGCTTGTTGTAAGGGTCGCCATAACAACAGCTCGACGCAAGCAGTCTTAAGAAGACGCAAGTGGTTGCTGTCGTACTCCAACGCAATTCGCAACTTTCAGCGATGGTGGTACCGCGGTGTGAGAATCGCGCTCCCTAGCTCCTGGATGATCGTCTTGGAATAAAATTGCTTGCCTACACATAAGGTTCTAATACTGCTCGTATATAGCAAAACTAGAACTACTGACGCGTCTCAGACCCCGCTTGTACTGCTGTTCTACGACGATCATCCAGATGGCAGCCATTTTGATAGGCGCCAGCGCGCCCTCTATAGGTCGTGAAAGTTGCAAATTGTGGGAATGAGCCTTCATTCCTTAATTGCTTTTAAGGCTAATGCATTAAATTGGCTTCTGCTATAGGCGGTATTCACTAGCGGCCATAGCTGAGCCCACTGCTGCTGAGCATGTGCTGATGGCGGGCTTCCACAACGCTTCCAACACGCACATTGCCCACCGTCAAGACTGTCTTCTTTAGGAGACCGTAGATAAGAACTGATCCCTTACCATGTGCTGTGAGCAGTCACCTCAAATGTGGCGTCCAGTGAAAACCACCTATACATAGTTTTCATGTTAAGTCACTTTTGCTCCGCCCACCGGTCACCTGCCATTACCAAGTACTACAAAAGCAGAAGCCACTGCCACTGTCGTTCGTTCACCACTTGACGACGTCTCTACTTTTGCAAAAATTGTCCTTGTAATGCAATGATGAAAACCAGCAGCCACGAGTTTTGCCTTTGTAATTTCAAAGAGCCTGTAGGTCCTACGACGCGGCCTCTGTTTGTTTGTGTGCTGGCGTCGATCCGTGCACGCTACGTGTCAAAACAGATACGACTTGGCTGATGCAGATTTGCTGCCAGCCACAATGCATGTCGGTGTAAATAAAGCTTCTGATTTGCTCCCATAAAGCAAAAAGGTTTGCAGAACTCGGCAACGTCTGTACCTGCAATCCCCACTTCATTACTGGCAAGAAACGCATGGGTCAGCTGAAAACTGAAAGAAGCTTGCGATCGTAATATGCGCTCTTGATCACTGCAGCTGAGGCAATGTTTACGGAGTCACGCCACAGTGCTTGACGAAACTGCTTTCAGGTTATGGGCAGCCATTATGTTTTGCTGCAACAAGTAAAGGTGACCAAATGGTTGGCGAGCTGCAACCACTCCATTGGCGGATGGGAGAAGAGCCTCACAGTGACAAGGCTACCGTCCAAGCATATTCCAGTATCCCACGTGCTGTAATATTGATAGAACTATTTGAACTAGCTTATCTTCGTGGCACCACAGTCAAAACATGATCGATTGCAAGCACACTGTCTTGCGGAACTGCGGAAACGCAGCTATAGTCGGTGACAGGTCAAGAACAAAGTGGAAGTTCCTCCCACCTCTTTCCACATTAGCAGAGCGAACGGTGGAGAGGAGATCGCCTCCTCTTCGGCTATCGCTCTGCTATAGTGGAAAGGGGCGGGAGGAACTTCCGCTTCGTTCTTGACCTGTCACCGACTATAGTGAAGAACGAACAAAGCCTGAAGCAGTAGCTCCCTTTAACCAGAAAGGAGTTTCGTCAAGCACTGCAGTGGGACTCCGTAAACATTAGCTCAGTTGCAGCGGCCAAGGGCACAGATTACGATCGTAAGCTTTCTATATTTGACCCACGTATTCCTTACTCGTAATGAATTGGCGATCGTAGACACTGACGTTATCGGGTTGTGCTAATCTTTCTGCTTTACACCTGCAAGTCGGGTGCTTCCGCGCTTCTCGGAGAGCAGCGCCGAGTGGGCCATCTTCTCGCATTAGCTCAACTGCACTCACATGGTTGCATTATCACTTTTGGTAAACATGTGAGCCATGGTTATTTTGTGCGGAGGACTTGCTCCTGCTTTGGCACTTGCGGCTGCCCGAAACCGAAACTATGTTAGTACCTGGCAATGGAGCTGGTAAACCCCAGAGGCCCCCTGTGACGTCCATGAAAACTATGTAGCACAAGATGGGGGCAGGCGGGACAACTGGAATGCCTCTCTGTTGTTCCCATCCTATCATTGACAGTAGCTGTCTCTTTTTTTTACTCTGTTTTCATTCGCCTTTGGCTCATGGTTCCTGGATTATCTTAAGAGCACCAACAGCCATTCATCTTTTTTTTGTCATCAGCTGTTTTTATGTTGACCTTTAGAGTAACGTTTTGTGATGTCAAGAAGGGCATGGGGAACAGCTGGGAGGCAAGGTGACTCTTTCTTGAGTGGGACTCACTCTAACTGAGGTTACACTTTCATAGGTAAGGTTATTGGCCACTCTAACCGTATCCTCGGATTTTCTTTGGTGTAGGACGTAAGCAGCCAGAATTTCATGTTTCTAGGAATTTGTTTGCTGCTAAAACAATCAGTTCGCTACGATTACAGATATGTTTTGTGAACGCAGGCGTTCAGTCGAGGAATTTAGGGAACGATAATAAGCGCATTTTTGGAGAGACGGGGAATTTTTTTTTGGCTGCATTGGAGCCAATAAAAGGCACGTCTCTAAAGCCAGCGAAATGCCTTTCAAAACACCACATGCTTGTCATTAACAGCAAAAGGTTGAAACCGACTCTAGAAATCTGTGTTGCTAGAATGGTACCTAAGTTGAGATTCATGGCTATGGCCCATAATTAAAAAGAGGTGGTTTAAAACTAAACGGGTCACACATGAACAACCTATTTTCCCACGGTCTGTTGGTAGCTTATTTGACCTATGACGGCATTTTTAGCGCACAGTTGTCAGGTCGTGCGACCCACATACAAAAGTCAGTAATTCAAACTGCTCAGGTCAAAAAGCTAATTTGTTTAAGAGACATTGCAGAGACCTCCAAGATATAATACAATATAATATTGTTCATTTTATGTGCTCAAAAACAACCAGGTGGGTCTTCACATTGGTACACACAGGAAGATAAAAAAGAAGAAACACAACACACGCACAGCATCAAATGTACAAATTAATGTGGCTGCAAATTGTGGGTGCACTTCACAGAAAATGTACTACAGAGTTTCACTTTTCAACTAGACTCCCAGTCCCTGCGAAAAACTGAGGGATCCGTGAAAATGTTCAAGCTAGAGGATGCGATTCTGTTAAATAAAATTTGCATACAAGACGGTAATAAAAGCTTAGACATGGATTGAACGTGAAAGAAAGTGAAATTTCTGGTAACGTGACAAGGAATGTGAAAATCGACAGAACTCGGAAATAGGTTAGCATCAATCCAACCATTTACCACCCTGTGCAAACAAATCTAATCACGCTCAAATCTTCTATTTGACAAGCACCTCAGTAAAACATTTGGGAAGAAATTCATTATCATTTATAGTTCATAAACAGAGACAATTATCTCTGTTTTTCTCTTAGAGGGCTCAATATGCTGCGCAATTTCTTTTCTAGAATTTGGAGACTATAAAGTTTTTGCTCAAAATAGAGCTTGTGCATATAGTGACTACTGAGAATTTGTCAAACTTGGCACCATCAGCTATGGGTGTTAACAAGGTGCATTTTTGTTTTCTCTTTAATTGACACAAAGGTCGAGGAATTATTTATATTTAGGTTAGTTAGGTCATGGTAAGTGTTGTCTGGAATAATACAACCAGATGTTTGGATATCAAACATAAATGTGGAAAAACTTTATGTCATGTAAATATTTATTTATCGATTGGTAGAGACTGCTAATACCACTAAGAGGTCATAGCAGAGGTAGCACACAATTAGAAACAGTGCAAGAAAAAGTATGCTGCCAATAATGCAAAATCAAGAGCCATAAGAGAAGCTAAATCGACTAAACTAGAAAATAAATGGAACCAGTGAGGAATCTGATGGATTTTACACTTTCTATTCTTCACTCTCCATAGACTCGATGAGTCTCTAACTTCCGCCACGCTCCTTAAATAAACTACTTACTGGTCTGAAAACTTGGGCAGTTTCTGCCCTCTTAAATTTTGTCACCACAAGTAATGCTAAATAAATACAAATAAAAAATAAAATTAAGAAAAGGAGGTATAAAAACAAAAATGCATTTATTATTTTTAGTATAGTTTTAACGCAGATGTAGCACCCTCCATGTAGTTTTTCGATTCCGAAAGAATGGCCCCTAGGTCTCAAGTATAGACGCCATTTCCGATCGTTTATCTTTTCGGCAGGTCCGTGGTGCGTTTTGATAGAGTGGTCTCGTCCTCGAACTTTCTCCACGACGGCTCCTCCAAGCTCGCATCCATCCGTTAGGTTCTCCGAGCAATGTGATTGGTTGACACCCAATGTCGGCAGCATGCCTCGGCGTTTCAATATATTCCTATTACCACGGTCACAGGGGTCATGCATCATCAAAAGAGACGAGGTTTGCTGCAGACACAATGTCAGAATTACCCATGGACACGCCTCGAGGATGTTCAAAGCACCTCTGTTTTATCAATATAGTATATGCTACAAACAGGTCAGCAGACAGTTTTCTATGACCAATGCGACAGAGCCATCGTGCAAGGAAAATGAATGGACGGATGGACGGATGCTAATGGCCATGCCCTTCGTAACAAGCGGTAACTTGCGCCACCTAGCCTGGAAACCCCCCCCCCCCCCCCCCTTCAAAAAAGTATTGTTCGTCCTCTTGTTTTTCTTAGTCAATTTCATCCCCCTTTGCGTTTTTATAAGTACTACCGGGGCAGTATGAAGAAACACGCTTCAGACAATGTATGCAGACTGTCTTTTGTACGGTGTGCTAGCAGTGTGACTGGAGCTAAAGGAAGACTCCCTCAGGGCGGGACGAGAGGATTCCTGACCAGGTAATCCAAGGACCGTGCTCCCGGACACGCGGAATTCTGAGGATTTTTAAAATGGGACGCATATTTGCATTGCAAAGAATTCACGTCTGCGTCGCTGGCATCCCACCCGCAGGTACCTGTACCACCTGCTTTCCAAGAACCAGACGGTGACGGAGCAGAACAAGGGGGTCCTGGTCGAGACTCTGCGCTCCATCGCCGAAATCCTCATCTGGGGCGACCAGAATGACAGCACCGTCTTCGAGTGAGTGCCGGCTCCTCGCCGGGATCTCGTGACAACCGAGGTCCTTTTTGATGTTGTCCTTGCAAACTTTTAATTGTCCGATTGTCTCTAAATACAAGTCAAAAACGGTATTTGTGAAAGCTGGTGCATGGAGTCATTTTTCGCACGAATGAAAGTAAATGCCTGTCTAGCAGCCTTGTCCCGCATAATCCTCATCCGAATGCAGGCCTGGGAACCATATGAATAGGGGAAGAGGGATTTCCTCTTTCTGGTTACATGCTGGCTTCTACGCTTAGTTTTCTCCAAGTTAGGCTCATGCAGGCCGACCAGATGTAAAAATGCCATGGGTCCTTTAGAGTCGAAGAGTTGGCTCACTCTCCCTTGGATATGTGCACTCGTGATGCAGTAGGGGGACGTTAACCTAAACTATTTGACCTGGTTTTCTACTCTAACGAAGAAGAGGGTGTCAAGAATTAAAAGACAAAAGAAAAGTGAGAAGGAGAGACACCACCCAGCATACCGAAGACAATGCTACTGGTGGTGATGTCCTCTATAGTCACTATCAGAGTGAGAACAAATGAACATGTTTGAATGCGGAACCTCCAGCTTGGATGTTTTTTGACCTTGAGGTGCACGAGACACGTCAAAGGTACGAAGCTTGCGCTTGAGGCAGGGACAACCAAAACTCCTTGCCGTTCCCGCATTGTTTGTGATGTAACCGTTTATATTGTCCTTGTGAAGTGTGCGTCAACGCTGTCCCTTGTGAAACTCTAGTTTGTCCCGTGGATGTTGAGGTCACTCTGTGACGGGGCTGATGCCATCCATTCTTGTGTTGCAGCTTCTTCCTGGAGAAGAACATGCTTTCCTTCTTTCTCAAGATCATGAAGCAAAAGTGCGGACGCTACGTATGCATCCAGCTGCTGCAGACTCTCAACATCCTCTTCGAGAACATCCGCAACGAGACCTCCCTCTGTAAGCCCCCGCCGCGAGTTCCGGCGTTCGGCGAGCCCGCTGACTTCGTTGTACTGCTGGTGTAGGCATTTGAGAAATTGCTACAAGAGAAGTACTTACGTCTCTTGAGGCCTTCTTTGTTTATTATTCTCTTTACTACTAAGAGGCCGGACTGTATTATACACAAACTCATCTCTGTTACGTCACTGCACGGTGGTGGCGCGTCGGGCGCACTTCCGGTCTGGGGATGTGGGCGGACGTCCCCATGTGAGACGTGGATTTCGGCGTTGTTTTGAAAGGAACCAGACAAAAACCTGCCTTCTCGTCAAAAACCGCGACTGGGGCTGTACCAAAAGAGTCGAGAAAGGTTTGAAGGTCAGTTTTCATGTGCTCGGTTCGCCCGAGAATGTGGATATGTGCCGTGAAAGGGGAAAACCTGATGCCGTCGGACCATGATTGCTTGGGTGGGCAGCACTTTGGGTTAAATTCAGGGATACTTGTGGTCCTCAGATTTATTTGTTTTCTTCCAACACGAACGCCGGAAAACCGTCAAGTTGTACGAACTACCTGCGGGCTACGTTCAGTGCGTCTTCAAGTTCAAACGGCCGCCTGATCGATTGAACTGTCGTCCGTTCTTTCAAATGCTGAAGTGTTGTTCATTCGTTGTTAAGTGCCTCACATGTATCTTTTTATTGTGTACCAATGCCTGCAATAATCCCTTCGGGGATTGGCAGTATTTTGAAATAATAAATAAATGCTTGTGCTTGTCGTCTGCTCTTTTAGACGACACAAGCCTGTATGCCAAATGTTGGCCCGGTACATGTGATAAGAAGTAAATGCAGGCCTCAAAGGACTTAAGTTTGAAGGTTGGTAAGCAGGCTCGATGTAAACAGTAGATACAAAAAGATGTTGATCATTGTTACCTGTGGCCACCACTGACTTGTTATGCCTGATTCACTTGGTCCGATTCTGCTTGTGATGTTCAGTATCAACGTCGACCATCTTGGCTACGGTTCACGCTTTTGCAGCCTGAGCGACGTCGCGACTGAAAATTGCGAGCGAAATCTTGTCATGCGAATCAGGCTTTAGCATACATTCTGCGGCGTCCACGCGGAATGAATCGCTGCATGTCACATTATTCACGCAAAGTTTTGCAATGTAACGAGCCTTGGTAATTTTGCTGAGGCCACTCAAGTAGTCAGACATTGCCAGAAAGACGTAGAATCAACAATTCTAACGCGAAAAGGGGCAGGGGTCCCCCTGCCCCTTTTCGCGTTTACACCGACGCCGACAACATTGCATTTCAATGGTTTGTCGGTGACGGCGAGCTTCTTGCCCACACTCCATCACGCATGCGCAACGCCGGTGGCGTTTGCTAGGGGCGCTCCGGTTTGTTTGTAAACATGAGTTGGTGTATAGTAGAGTGTTAGAAAAAAGGTATGAGCAAAATTTGGTCAATTCAGAATTTAAAAATAATGGCAGTGAACCTTAGCTTTGAAGTTTGATAATGCATGAAATGAATTACAAGGAATCGGTGAGAGAAATGGCCTGTCACGTGCCATATACTTGCCTGCTAAATGTAGCGGGGAAACTGAATGGGTGCCTAGGTCCCAAGACATGAAATTTCCCGCTAAATTTCGCTGGTAACTGAATTGGTGCATAGGTCACGTGACGTCAGTTTCCCGCTAAATTTAGCGGGCAGACAAAATTGATGTTTTGGCCGCAAGACGTGAATTGTCCCGCTAAATTTAGCGGGGGAACCGAGTTGATGTATAGGTCACGTTCCGTAAATTTCCCCAAAATGTATAAGTCGCGTGTGCCGCTTTTCCTGCTAAATTTAGCAGAAAATGCACGGACGGACAAACAAAATTTTGGGATTGGGGGTGGCGTTAAAAGGCACATGCTTTTTATGCTCTTTAGCATGCTTCGTCCTTTTATGCAGTATGCTTTAAAAAAATATTAGTTTCTGGTGTTGCTTGCAGAGATAAGTGCCACTTGTATGTCATCCCTGGAACACGTTTCTCCCTTGTGTGTCGCACGTCCATTTCACTCGTTCATTGGAGTAACCCCAAGTCGGCAACAGAATGTTGCAGGGCCTGCTGCAAGTGCTACAGGTTGTTGCACTCCTGGCACTCGGCTGTAGAGGCACCAGCAAAGAAAACTGGCCGATACGGATATCACAGCATTCATATTCGTGACCACAGGTGTTTCTGTAATCTCGACCCTCTGAAGAGTAAACTACGGTCAGAGACATATTTTAGGCGCCGTAATTTAGTAGAAGCGGCGGTCTTGTTCCGCCGTGTTTGTGCCTCTTCTTAGCGCATGCTCGATGCGTCCTTTCAGACTACCTGCTGTCCAATAACCACGTCAACTCCATCATCGTCCACAAGTTCGACTTTTCGGATGAGGAGGTGAGTGCTGCCACTGGTTGCTTGCTCTGCCGTAATTTTTTTTACGGCCATAAGCAAGTTCTGATGGCGCGCTGCCATTTGCTAGAGTAGAATGCTTTCGCAGGCTAATTTCTAAATTGGGAGTGTCACGAAAATTTGTTACGAAAACGTTACGACGTTGGCATACGACGATCACGTGGATCGTCCCATTACGGTCACATGACATCACTGTTACGTAATAGTGTCACGTGATGTCACTGTCACATTGTGATGTCGCACTGTGGGACTCGTTTCTATGACATTGTGACGTTATGTGACCCGAAGAGACAAGGTCACAGGGTGAGTGTCATGTGATCACCGTCTGCCGAGTTTAGTGGAAAATATCATACATCTGCTTGTGGCAGCCCCCCAGTGCGCAGTCTGCGTAATGTTGCCCCTACATGTGGTATTAGAGTGTTTACATTTTCTCGTTCCAGGTGATGGCCTACTACATTTCTTTCCTCAAGACCCTCTCGCTCAAGCTCAACAACCACACCATTCACTTCTTCTACAACGAGGTTCGTGCTTCGAATACAATTTGGTTAACGGGCTGTCCTGGGACTGTGTCACACGTCGGGAAAGGCGGTGATGGGAATTGCCTGTACAATCGTGAGCTGTTTTGAACAAGTGACATGTTGTCAATTCGCACGTGGAAGTAGTCTGAGGCATGTGCATCCTTTTCCGAGTGTAAAGTCGGGACCAGCATGTTGGTAATATGAATCGTACATTAAAGAAGGTTACAACAAAGGTTGAATTGACACAAACTTTCAAATATCTGTCAGCCAATTGGTTGCTTGTTCGATCATATGTTCTCGAAGTGTGTTACTAGGAACATGGGGTACCCTAAATAACCCTAAAAAACCACTGCAATAAAAGAAAATATCTTTTAAAGAACATAGATGGAACGCATATTTTGTTTATAATTTTTCCACGAAAACAAAAAAGATTTGCACAATATTTACGTCGTTAGACACAATTTAGGTGAAAGTCATGGCTAAGTGGAGGTTACTGCCCGCTCTAAGCCCCGCCCACAGATCAGTTGCCCCGCCCATTACTACTGGATTGGCTTGGCTGCTCGGCCAAACGCTAAGAAGCCTGGTATCTCCCTTTCGCGACATCTGGTGCGTCTAGTCTAGCGTATAACAACGCCTGCTAGTTGTGTGAGCAGACACACGGCAGCCTCCAGCATTGTTTGTTTTTTCACCACCGTATATCATTGTCTGCAATGTCCATGAGACACGAGCATGAATGCTGCGCGTCGGCGTCCATTTTCGCCTTTGTCCGTCTGCTATTCTGCCCCCGTCTAAGAACATTCATAACACTCGCAAGACTTGACCATGAAAGCGGCGTTCTAGCATTCCATCATGCGCGAGTGACGGTCCAATACAAGCATCTGTCAGCGTCTGTCGATGTGCAATAAAAACCGACCGAGAGAACTAGAAAAAGGAACAAAATAAATATGCGGTCATTTCAGCTTTTACATACTTGTTATTTCTTTTGCACGGCATCTGTGAGCAAGGTGAGGGAGTTTCATTTTGCACAATACAAACATGACCTAATAATATTTGTTTTCACAGGCCAGGTGCAAAACGTAAGAGCTACTTGCGTTTTGAAACAGAATGACGGGAACATGCCTGGACTAACTTGATGCAAGCTGAACGCCCGATTGCCTCCAGCCAAAATGGCTCGCAAATTCTTACCAGTATAAGTATCTTCTTGGTATTGAAACCATGGTCGCAATCACGACAGTTGCACAATTCACAGAGCAGTGGGGCCGCTTTAAGGGAACCAATATCCCTATTCCGAGTCGACATGCGCAGAGAAAGAAATCAAGCCAGATCGACCAAAATAGTTAATGTGGGATGCTAGGCTTAGGCCAGTCCTGCTACGAAAACAAGTAACCGCGCAGCGCTTCCAAAGGCGCGTACTTGCAACAGTTGTTTGCTGCAAACTATGCCGGTTGGTGAGATCTACCTCTAAACACCTCTGTGAACTCAAGACGACCCGCACTCACGAAAATCGACGAGCTCAAAGAGCTAGGCCCGTTCAGCAACTGATCTCAATGACAATTGCTGGATCGCGCTTCCTGCTCCCGGAAGTTTAACCACCGGACAGCTATCTTGCTCGTAGACGATTTGCGGTTTTGCTAGCATTACAGAGGCTGGCGGCAGCGTACTGAAGGCACATTTTCTACTCGCTCGTCGTCATTCGTCGAAGGAGTTTTTTAAGACCCTGTGTAAGCGTTGAGACTTGCCGTTGAGAACACTTAGAAAGTTTTACGAAAGCGGAGTGCAGCAGGAAAAAGCGACAATAGCAATAAAGATTTTGTACTACTAATTTGATTGCCATAAGCGTCTAGTAAACAAAAAAATGCGCCGCTGATGCCGCCTTCTCCTTCCCTCTTCCGTTGCCACTGAAAGCTGGATTAAGCTCGTTTCTACACCGCGAGTGCCGCAAGTTACAAATATGGTAGTCAGAGTAAAAGTAAGACGCTGCCCAGAGGTACATATGGCTTCACGCACAATGCCCTCGCAAAACACATCCACACGGCATTGAAACTAATCTTGATCGGTATCCAAGCATGCGAAGGCACAGAAACTCGGCACTTCGGCGTGCCAAGGAAGCTTTTATTAGGCTGCGAGACCGGCAATACTTGCTTTCGATGAGTTGTGCTTTTACATACGTCGTCACGCACATTGCACTTGCAAAACACATCCACACGGCCTCGATTCTTGATCAGTATCCAAGCGCGCAAAGGCAGAGAGACGCAGCATTTCGGTGCACCAATGAAGCTTTGATCCCGCCGCGAGACTGGCGAAACTTGCTTTTGACGAGTTGTGCCTTTTTCCTGTGACACTGTGCTTTCGTGAAATTTTTCACGTGTTTACAACGGCAGGTCTCAACGGTTACACAGGGTCTTAAAAAACTTCTTCGGCAGATGACGACGAACAAGTATAAACGTGTCTATAGCACGCTGCCGCCAGCCTCTACAACGCTAGCAAAACCGCAAATCATCTACGAGCAAAATGGCCGTCCGGTGGCTTCACTCGCTCTGCAGCGAACAAGCGGGGAAGCGCGATCCAGCAATTGTCAAAGATCAGTGCATTCAGCCCTCCGCACACACCGGCAGCCATGTTAACATTTCAAACCAAAGTGGAAGAAGCAATCTCTGAATACATTTGAAAACAATAATGACTCTATCTTGATTAATTGCTTCTCAAATATAAAAAATAGCCGATAAAAATACTATCGCGGCACGCAGATACAAGTTTACAGCCAAGCTGTCACACGTCACTCATCTCTCCAGCCAATGAGCGATGTAAACACCTTGTAAGCACGGGGTGGGGCTTAGCGGGCTGCAACCTCCACGTTCTGCACCTAAATTGCGTCTAGCAATGTAAATTTTGCTAAAATCAAAAATTTCTTTTTCGTGGTAATCTTTTCCTTTTTAATATGTGTCCCTCTAGACAACAACAAAAAAAGTTTTTAATTGCAGTGTTTTTTCAACCCGGTGATCTCAAACGCATTTGAGTGTGGGGGCCAAATCGCCAACCCTGAAAAGGTTGAGGGTCAGGGCGGCAATATTTTGATATTTGGGAACAAAAGCAAACAAGCATCAGTCGAGTTCAGGTTTCCAAGCAGCTGACTGTCTCATTAACACTCCTGTGATTGGGCTAGAGAAGGAACCTCGCGCTTCTTGTAAGCTCTCCGTTTTGCCATTTTTAGCTTTCAATTGAAAATACAACTACTTTGGGCCCACACCTGATGTCGTAAGACTTAAAACACCAATTTACTGGCAGTTTTCAATAGAGCGATAGCGAGCATACCGTCCATGCCCTGTCGTACAGTGCACTAAACTCCACAGGCATAAAACAAGATCTATTTATACGACCGATTTTGCTTTCCTGTCGGTCTTTATACAGTCTATGCTCATTACAGCAGACCTGGTCACAACAGACATTTGGATACAACATACTGATTTTTGAAGTTCGGTTGGTTTTCCTCCACATACTATTGACTCAACTTCGTATCTGCATACAACATACTCCTCTTACAACAGACCGAAATCTTGGTCAAAATCAAGGTCTGTTATAACGAGCTTAAACTGTAGCAGCATCACAAGAAAAAATTATTTGTATTTTAAATGTATTGTGTGACAGTTAGAAGCCCAAACTCGTATCTTTATCTTTGGCAGTTGCTCCTGCTGAGTTTGTGCTGCCAAGGTGTTTTTTGGAGCGAAGAGGTCGCACTTGTAGCCTGGTAGTGGCATTGCCGTTCTGGTTGATTTACATGAGGAAAGGTTGAGAAGCAAATATTTAGACAAAGCATTACTCAGTTCAAAAGGAAACGGAATAAGGAGCGGAGCTTCTTTTCAAGCGTATATGAATAGACAATATGAAACTATTATTTATGGCGCATGTAGCATCCGAGTCTTGGGAACAAGGGCTCGCATCCGCGAGATGTTTGCGGGCCGCATCCCAGACAGTCGCGGGCCGCGTGTTTGAAACCCCTGCTCCTTTTCGCGGTCGAGTTTTCTTTGAAAAAAAACGTACCCCAATGGTCTCTCTTTTTTTTTTTTTTCTTCTTTAAAGGATATTATTAGGAATAAGTCGGTGCACTGTGTATTTATTAATTATCTAATGGGAACACTTAAGAGTGCCTTCGAGCTATCCAGATTGAGAAAGCAGAAAGAATTGAATGAAAATATTGAGGGCAAACTGTGTTGCCTTGATTCCATTCAGTTTCGTTTTCGTGTGTCCGATTCCAGTCGAAATTCTGGCCGTCTCAAACTCTGAACCAGAGGCACTTTGCAGAACTTACACGTTGGATAACAAGTTCTTCTAGACTCGGTTACGAGGATCTCTGGAAGTCTAAATCGAAACAGCCAGCACTCGTATTGTGACTATGCAGGAGCAACTGACTGACACGCGAAGTGGCCACCTCCAGGGTCACCCTCAGCAAAGTGTTGAATTTCGACGCTATAAATGGGCCTCAGCGAAGCGAGACAGAAACTTGGTGCAAATAAAACACGTATAATTCCCCAAAGGCGCAGTTTCGCATTTAGGCGATAACTTTTCAATGTAGGATGGCTGCCGTAAATGGACGGCGGCAACCTCTAAAGGGTTGAGGGTTCCCCGAGTTCGCAGATTTCCTCGGTCATTCCTGCCCCCTAGTTGGACGTTCTTCCATTTTAAGCACTATTTTGGAAGATCTAAATCATCTATTGATGCATAACTGTGTGCCACACACTCCTTAGTGTGTGCAGTACTGTTTAGAGGGCGTATAGTCCTTTGCGCTGCTTTACCATATTGCCATCTAGACTGGGAGGGGTTCTATTAGTCGAGAGAAATACTAGACGTTCCTCGAGATTAAAGATTTTGGGAACCTGCGAGAAGTTTCTTTGTCTGTACTTTTCTGTTGCCTTCCTCGAGGCATGATTCCGGATTTAGTGCCGCGAATCTAACGCGGTTCTGTTGAATAGTCGTTCTTTGGCCTCTCGCAACTCGACAAAGACTGGTAGAAGTGGGCTGCATAAATTTCTTTCTACCGGTATCGTGCTCTAAATTTGTGTGTGGGCATTGGTTGGATCGCACGTTTTGGCCTTCTCTATACTTTGTTATTCTGCTTTAGATGTCTGCCTGAACTGTTTGTGTGGGTTTGTGTGTAGTTTGAAGGAGCTTTCGGCGCTCTGCAGCACACCAACGACTTCCCGCTCTACACGGAGGCCATCAAGTTCTTCAACCACACCGAGAGTATGGTTCGCATCGCCGTGCGTACCCTCACGCTAAATGTCTTCAAAGGTAAGCTTTGTCTGGCGAGGCGCGAACGATCCGGTGTCGTCGCAGTGCGTTTCCAACGCATCATGCTCTGTGTTTCTGTTCCTGCTTTCAGGTGTTTTGAGCCGCCTTTTTGTGAATGAATTCGTTCAGTCTTTGTTTACTGAAATGTATGTACATACGGAGGTGATATGTGCGTCTTATTTCAATGTGCTTTTTGTGTGTGTGTTTGACTGTACGCAGAATTCGAATGAAGCTAGGGATTAATAAGAAAAAGTATCTCTAAACGGCATCTTATTGCCAAAGTTCAACAGATTAAATTTAGCGGAATTGCGCCCTGCCAAATTTAGCAAAAAATGTTTCCCCGCTGTTTTTAGCCAAGATTCTGAATTGTAACACTAAATTGCACAGAACGTAAGAAAACTCCCAAGCTCAGAAAAACTGATAATAACACAACGCAGCTCAAGGCACGTCCCAACTTTGTTCCTAGGATTAAGATACATTTAAATTTTTGTGCTATGGCTTAACGCTTTCCCTTAGGGTGGCGGGAGCTGTCTGCAGTATAGCTTTTAAATAACGGTAGAAAAAGGTAATGACAACAAACAGTTAGTAATAAGACAAACAAAATTTTCTCTTTGAAGGTTCTAAAGCATTTTTTATGCTTCTGAGGCTATTGTAATTAGTCATTTCAGGTATCAGTTTGAACAATCTAGAGATTGCAGATTTTCACAAAATTGAGATTGAAACGGCAGGTTCGGAATTCTCAGTTCAAAATTATGTCTGGTATGATTTGGTGTAAACAGCTGTAGGTGTTTTAGCTTTGATACAGGTAACACTAAATGGTGCGCACATGTGTAACATTTGAGACGGCTTTATTTGTCAATAAAATTTGAGTTAACCAACATACAGCAAATGGTTGGTAAAATGCTTTCCACAAACAGTAGTGCTAGCACAAGCTACCCTCAAGTAGCTGAGAGGTTGAGTAAGAACTGAAATATAAAAATGATACTCAGTCAATTCTCGATGAAAGGCCCAAGATCACGATTGGGACTACCGTATTTACTCGAATGTAACGCGACCACGATTGTAACGCAAGAAGTAAATTTTCACAGCGCAAAAAAAAAGAAAAGAGCACGAATGTAACGCGAGTTAAGTGAGGGGAAAAAAGTACCTTAAAAAGTACTACAACGTGGTCCGCGGAAGACTTTTCGGCCGGGTTCACACTTGAAGAGCACTTCACGCTGGAGCCTCCACCCACGGATAGTCAATTCTGTCACATCTACCCGTCGAGCCGCGGCAGAGTTTCCGATTTTCTCAGCCATCATAATTGCACTTCTTTTAAAGTGGGCGTCATGCTGAGCTCGACACGTCGCCATTTGCTCGAGTCCAGTCGCGGAAGCACGTAGCAGCAGCTCACAAAACACGGACAACACGGGCACATGGGTACGGTAACCCTAACAGAAAGAGAAAGCGTTGTGAATGTAACCCGTAACCCTAACATGGGCGCAACGAGTCTCAAACAAGCATAGGATTGTATTGGCTGTTTCCAGCGTGTATATGTTACCAGCACAAGGTTGAAAGATCGCGAGATTTGTCGTAACCATTTTAAAGAGCCTGTGCTGCGACACCGCCAAGGCAAAGTTTGAGACGTTTCGATTATAACGCAAACCCCCAAATTAGGTAAGGGGAATTTGAAAAAAAAACTCGCATTACATTTGAGTAAATACGGTAAATCTGCAGTGCACTAACGCATGAGAGCAATCCTTTAGAATGTCTACAGACTGGAAGAACATGTAATTATAAAAAGGAACTTAGCCTGGAAAAAGTAGGGAAGTGTCAGGAATTTGGGGGATACCTTTACAAGAGTCAGGGAAATTCCTGAGGAAATGTAGGGAAGTGTCAGGAATTTGGGGGAAGACATTGTTAGAGAACGTTTTTAAAGAAGATTAGGAAAGCATGATGAAATTTGAAAAAGAACTGCTAGAAAGCAGGAAAATTTTCTACAAAGTTAGGGAAGTCAGCTAAAATTATGGGAAAACATATGGAGAGTCGGGGAAATTTGTGGGGAAAGATCCTTACTTGGTTGCTTTTGTTGACTCGTGCATGCAGAAGATTTAAACGCAGCTTTTTGACCCATCAATAATTCCATCAATGATAGCAAGGCAGTAATAGTACATGCATCAACAGTTTTACATGTTTTCCTCTTTTTTTTCCAAACTAGTCAATTTGTTTTTTATAAGAGTATGGGGAAAGAAGGGGAAAATTGAGGAGTCTAGGGAGCTGGTCACAGTGGGAAAACCTGGGAGCCCCCAAGCGCGACGGGAGCAGAGAGCAACGCATGGGGGGTTCCTTCCGTTGCAGAAGCAAACAACAGGAAACCGGCCGAAGCCACCGCTCGATCCAAACGTAGGGCCAAAAATGGATGTGGTAAGCAGACGAGCCCATTGCCTAAATAAAGTGGTGCCGAAGCGGGCTCACATGTGTCGTATTAACGGTCCGAGGCTTGTTAGTTCGGCGGCACGAGTGAATGTCGAGAAGTACCGCACCGATCGTCGTCCGTTTTCGGAGTGTCGTATGTCGTCTGCACTGTTGTTTCACTGGCTAGCACGGCACCAGCACCGATTCGTCGGCATTCCTTACCATTTGAGGAGAACTCATTTTTGATGTCGTGTTTTTAGAGAACAACTGAAACTTGGTGTGATATCTGAACGATGCGATGACTTCACAGATGTTGATGTTGTGCTTTTAAAGAACTGAAGCGTGGTGTGTCGCATTTTGTCTGGCTTCGTTTCGTGAGTCGTTGGTGTTGTTTCTCTGGCGTGTGGCGTTTGTGATTTGACCTTCCGAAATCCTACTCATCTCTTCGCTAAGTTGTTTCTTGTTGGTCCTGAAAGCAATGTTAAGCAGAATTACTTCTGTAGCATGCTGGTTTATCTCAACAGCATGGCTTTCGCTCAACACCCTACTGGTAGCATTAGTGTCGAATAGCCTATTTTCTTTCAACTGGGCATTTTGAATGAACTTTTTTCATTTCCTGAACCTAGGCAAAAAAAAATTTTCTGCCTGGTTAGGTTACATATGCCATCATCATCCCATAGTAGTACATTTTCGGTTTCTCCTGCTTATAAAAAAAAATTTGTATGTAACATAAACAGGGAGCAAATTTTTTTCTAGCAACATTCATTTTGAGACATGCCTGTCCTAACCAAATAGAAAAAAAAGTTTGTTTTTTCTAGGTTTATTGTTTTTTTTTTTTTAAATCCTATATGCACTACTCCTTCCACTGCAATGTAACAGCCCTAATTACAGTCTAACCGTTACCCTAGCAACGGCATCAATGAAGATAACGTTTTCTTCTTTCGGGCACCATCTACTAGTTCTTAGGTCTACGGCACACGGAAAGTAACGGGTCCGATTGTTCTCGTAGCACGGATGAATTGCGGGGAGGCAACACTCTCAGCATTTGCGAAGTGCCGGAACTGTTTGCAGAGAGTTTGAAACAACGTGCAGGCTTTGCTTCGTGGCGGGTTAACTGTGATGGCGACAGCATGGTGCCTGAATGTGTCTCCGACTGGTCGGTTTACCGCCTCCTCATTCGTGGTCCCTCAATTTTCGCTAGACGACGTTGTAGAAGCATCGTGCTATCACTCGCCGCAATACCGGCCGCGGCACAACAGGGGGGTACAGAGATGGCAGACGCTCATTCTACCATAGATCTCTCTCCAGTTTGACGTTTTGCCGAAGCTTCAGCAATCGGGAGTTGAGACGCCACTGCGATGACGGCGACACTCTCCTTCACTCCTCCATTTTGCCGGAACTCCTACGGCCAACCATCGGGATCAAACGGCACTATGCATCGGCTCCCGCGACGCAATTTGCTGCCGCTTTGGGACCGCTTCGATGCAGGAGGGGTATAGGATGCTAAATGCACCAGTCGAAGGCACATTCCAGGGTTCTGGGGCTGTGTCATGTGCCGTACGATGTATGGGGTCACCGATGCTAACGGGTGTGCCTTGGTGGTGACCAGTGGAGGACAAGGCGATGCTCAAGTTCATCCGGGACCGGACGGCAGCGCCTTACTTCTCCAACCTGGTCTACTTCATCGGGAAGCATGTCATCGAACTGGACACCTGCGTCATTAACGCCGAGTGAGTGCCCCAGTTTCCCCTGGGAATGCGTTGCTCTCGCTCGTCGCTCGTTCGTCTGAGCCGGTTCGCTCGGTGATATATGTGCTTGTCAAGCACCTTGTTGCAGGAACAAGATGGTTTATGCTAAACTGTGTTGTTCTTACTATGATATTGTACTGCATGCTAAGAAAATTACTACACTAAGCAATGTAGTTCCTACTTTGACATTGTATTACATGCTAAGGCAAAATACTTTACACTGAGACATTGCACTTCATGCTAAGACATTGTACTTCATTCTAAGACATTGTAGTTCATGCTAAGACGTACTCATGCTAAGGCATTGTACTTCATTCTAGGACATTGTACTTTATGCTACGGCATGGTACTTTATGCTGAGATATTCTACTTTATGCAAGACATTGCACTTTATGCTAAGACATTTACTTCATTCTAAGACATTGTAGTATTTCATTTCAAGACAATTTATCTTATACTGAGACAAATTAGCTTATGTTAAGGTAAGGTACTTTTTCCTAAGGCAAAGCTTTTTTTATGCTGAGGCAAGGTACTTGAAGACAAAACTTCCTCAATTTTATGTTGTGAAAAACAGCTGATCTCTACACAAAACAATCTGAAAAGAGTTTGTTAGGGCAGTGACTATCTGAGAGAGTATAAGGGTCTGTGAAAACGCTATCGGTCATTGTGGCAACTCACCAAGACACCGAGATTATGAGGCTTTGGCGATTGTTAACCCCCTTGCCTACTCATTTTTTTTTCTGGAAATACTGTACAGCAAATTTTTATTTTAAACAGGCAATTTGCATCAAAATAAAACAAACATTTTTCAACTTTTAAGTGCCATATCTTGCTCTAAATCAGGACTTCTGGTCTGAGTCCCAGTGACTTGAAGACACCAAAGTTGATTGAATGCTTGCAGGATTCACATCATCAGGGTGTTTAGCGACTGGGAAAACCGTGAATCGTCAGGGAAATTTTAATTACTGGGAAAAATTGGGGAATTGTCAGGGATGTTGTCAAAAAGCAAGCCCATCAGGAAAAATGAGCCGGATACGCCATCGAGTGCCCTGAGCAAGGACTCGAGAACTTAGGGGCAGAAGAATTGGCAATAAATTCTGCTTAGAGCAGAGCGCAGGCTCTGCTCAGCCGGTGTAAAGTGTGTTACCCGATGCAAAAGTAACAGCCGACAAATCCAGTCGAAGCATTGGATTGGATTGAGGGCGCGACACTAGGCTAGATCCAGTTAGAGCTACTAGATGTAACAAATGAAAAGGCTGCAGACCCCGATCCAATCCAAGCCTTAAGCCGAAAGTATCCGAAAGTGTGCATCTGGCGACCATGCTGCCATTCGGTTATAGAAGTGTGTGGTTGAGCATCGTGTTTTCATTTTGTTTCCGGAAGTGGGCCTCTTCACTGACGATGTTGGCGGCAAGAAAGCGCTTGTTTATTTTGGACTGGACAAACCCGAATATTTCGGAATATGCAAATTGGATTAAGCCTGTGTAAAATGATTCTCACAGTACTCAAAGCTCAATGCCTTGTGTAGTAATTGTGTTATACATTTAATCGCCTCTACTGTGGTCAGGGAATTTCACCTGAAATTGTCAGGGAAAACCTGGAAAAGTCAGGCAATTTCACAATAATAATTTACTAGCATCTTGATCATTTTCATCACTCCTATCACTGCCCATCTAACTATCGTCTGATTCCTAAAAATCGAAAAGGCTGAAGGATTTGTCGTTAGGTATCCCTTCCAAAAAGAAGGTTTTGCTTCTCTTTGTCGGCTAAAGTGGACTTCCGTGCCAAAGCCATGTTGTTTTAGTGTGAACACTCGCGAGCGGCTGCATTTTGTTTTCTTGGCTAAATGGAGCGTTCTCTCTCTGTCAAACAGCAAAACAAACAAGCAAACTACCCAAGGTAAATGGAGCAGCAGGGGTAATTTTGCCATCTGCCAGAGAGTGCGCTAAATGAGGGCCGAAACCAAAACGCGAGTCACACTTGTGTATGGGCTTTATGGTCCGTAAAGGGTGGCACGAGTGACGCTCGTTGTTAGTAGGCAAGGGGTTAATTGCGGTGCCAGTGCATCGGTGTTTTCATCACCGCTTCACGTTTCGATTGCGCGAAGGCACGGGAGCAGCACACGGCTGGCGGACCTGGTGGCGGAGCACTTGGACCACCTGCACTACGTCAACGACATCCTCTGCCTGCACATCGAGGCCCTGAATGCGGTGCTCACGGACCATCTGCTGCATCGGCTGCTGGTGCCCCTCTACGTCTACTCCCTGGTCCAGGGACCCCACCCGTGTCTGCCTGTGAGTGGTCTCTTCGAGCCCTTGCTGTGTGCCTCGAAACCACACAGCTAGCTTTAGGTATACCCACTAACGGGCACGTAGCCAGGATTTTGTTTCAAGGGGGGAAAGCCCGTCCATGACAAAATGCTGTATGAGGGGGAGGGGGGAGAGAAGGTCCCAGCAAAATGGAGGATTTCATGGGGGGGCCAGGGCCCCATGGGACCCCCCCCCCTGGCTACGTGCCTGCCCACTAACCAGATCTCAGCGTTCTGACGTCCCTCTCGTCTCCTTCTCTTCCTAATTTTTTCGGTGCATGGGGTCTGTCTGCAATCCTTCTTTTGTTTGCACAGTAAGGAGCCTACCGAAGAGAAAATTGCTAGGGTTTTGTGGATACATAAGCTGTACCAGGGTCATGTGATGTCTCGGTGTCAGTATTGTGGGGTTTCACATTGTCATCTAGCATCACGGTGTCACTTGACACAGTGGCGTCGTTGGACGCAAAATCCTGAAGACTGGCCCTATAAATAGTATGCATTTAAAGTCTGGCATGCTACTTGACTAGCTTTGCTCACTTTTCTCCATACAAGAAGCTTTTTTACTTCTGCGAGACACAGCACCGGCGGACAACTTGCCTTAGCTGGATGTTACATTGTTACATGTTTCTCTTCCTAACCTTGCTTTGCACCGTCATTTCTTTCGTCACAGGAGGATAGGAAGCGGGTCAGCAGCGTGGTGTCGCTGTTCCTCTTGTCACAAGTAAGCCAACGTCTTTTTGATTCTCCTGTTATGAGTGTATCTCCTGAAGCCACTTTTGGACTTGCTTTCCATTGCACTGTAAATGACTTTACTTCCGTTGGCTCAATATATCTCACGAATTTTACAGAGTGTGGAGTTCGGGAATATTTTGCGGGCTCAAAAGTTTTCGATTGCTGTACGTCCGTTATTGTAGTGTGATATATTCACATAACCTAATTTTCATTAAAATTGTGAAAAATTTAGTAGTTTACAGTACCATGTAAATACAGTAGAACCTCGTTGATACGTTTTTCAGGGAACTGCTGAAAAAAAAATTATCATCTAGGAAAACATAACAACCGATAACTCACTTATGGGGGCTCTACACGAGATAGAAAGCAGCTCTTATACAATGGTTCATTTTATGTGTACTTACAGAACTGTAGAGGACTCACATATGTTCACGAAAGTGCTTAAAATCCTCCTGCCGCTTCGAATTAATGTTAAGTAGTAAAAGCCGTTTCCAGGAGTCGCAGTCCTCTCTCTCCGCGCAGTCGGGAACATTTACATAGAGGCGCAAGGTGTCCAACGCAACAATCACGTCCACAAACGTGGGCGCAGCGTAATCATTTGTTTCTTGCTCGACATCTTCATCACTTTCTTCGTTGTTGGCAGTAGGGAGGTCGGCCACAATGTCCGTTATGCTCTGCGGTTCAGAGGTAACGACGTTGTCGTCAAGCGACGCATATTCACAGTAAGTGTTGGGAGCTCCCATTTCGTTTTGTGACTATGCTGTTCAAAGTTGATGGCGCTAGTCCGAGGTCTCTTGCTATGTCAGATCTCTTCCGGCTGGGTTTGCAGTCTACCGTCTGAAGTATATCAAACTTTTTTTTAAAAGAGAGTGCCTTGCTTTTTCGTGATGCCATGACTGCCGCCAATGGGCGCAAAGCGCACATATTTCGAAACACTACGGTTCACGCTGTCGAGCGGAACAGATACTAGAAGCGCAGCGTGCATGTGGGTGCACCTCGTGCCAGAAAAAGAGGACAGCAGGAGAAAACGAGCGTTTGTCGCCTCACCGGCCTTGCTCCCCATCTGGGCAGTGCTCCAAAGTCGCACCGGGGCAAGATGGGAAGCTGTGGCGGAGCTCAGCAAAGCCCAGCGAGGAGACAGAGGGACGGAAAAGAGGGGGAAAGAAGTAAAGGGAAGGCGGGCGATTACGTGCCCCACGTGCTGTGGACCCACATTGCATGGTTCGGCTTTCTTCGCTTCAAATCCAGCAGGCAGCCTGGCGCCCGGCGTGCCGAGGTGCCGCAATGCCGACACTTTTGGACGTAACAAGCGGGAAAGCGAACGTAACAGGCAGGAGACTAATGCATGTATCTTTATGGAGGTAAAGCGGGACCGGCGGTTTTTAACGTAACAGCCGGGAAAACTTATCAACCGAGAACGTATCAACGAGGTTCTACTGTAATTGTGCGACAAAGTTAGCTGCCTCGGTGGGTCCGAGGCACTGCTCCGGCGTACAAATCCCTGGACGGTGGGTTCCAATCCCGGTCGCATTTCAACGGAAGCTTATTAGATTATAATATTAGAAACATTAGAGATTGTGTATGCCAACTTTATCCATACGATCAAGATAACTTGGATAATCCTTTTAATATGTCCCAGATGTTGCTTTTTATGCCTGGTTCTGAATTTCATTTGTTACGCTTTATGAATTGGGGAAGCTATCTGTTACTGATGGGCACCAAAGTGAACGGCAATGATCACTATTACTGTGTAACGGAACCTCAAAGGATAGGGTGTAGAGAGGGTGGTGATTGTGGAGGGTGCTCTCGATGCAGGTGTTCCTGATCGTGTCCCACCAGCCGCTGGTTCGCCAGCTGGCCAACATCATCCTCAACCGGGACATGAAGGTCTTCGCAGCCAGGTCCAAGGACGACTCCGGGTCTAACAAGGTGTGCACCTCATGCTTGCTTTTCTTCCTCTTGGATGACTCAGACCGGCACGCTCGTCGATCGAGGCCTGGACTTCCAAGTTCATTGAGGGTGGTCGAGGAACAGTGGTATGGTACATATCTGTCTATTCATGAGAAATGGCAACATAACTGGGATTCTGTGTTTTCGAAGTTTGTTTCGTGTGAAATTAGGAGGCTGTTTATTGGATTTTTTTAGAGCGCAGCTCTTAGGCGCCCGTTCCCAGCTTGAGCGGCGTCGGCGTCGCCGTCGCCGTAACCGCGAGTAACCCTCATAACCCTCGTGAGGGTTACAAGGGTTACTCTCACGAGGGCTACGAGGGTTACTAACCCTCAAAAGGGTTACCCTCACGAGGGTCGCGAGGGTTATGAGAGTTACCCTCACGAGGGTCACGAGAGTTACCCTCACGAGGGTCACGAGAGTTAACCTTACGAGGGTCACGAGAGTTACCCTCATGAGGGTCACGAGAGTTACCCTCACGAGGGTCACAAGAGTTGCCCTCACGAGGGTTACTAGGGTTACCCTCACGAGGGTCACGATGGTTATCCAGGTCACGTGACCCCCCCCCCCCCCGGGTCACGTGACCTGGGGATACCCCCCCCCCCCCCGAGGTCACGTGACCCCCGTTGACGTCATCGCCACTGATGACGTCATCAGTGACGTTACTGATGATGTCACCGGCATCCGCATCGTCATTGTCATCATCAGTGATGACATCATCAGTGATGACATCATCAGTGACGTCACTGATGGCGTCACCGGCATCCGCATCGTCATCATCACTGGTGACGTCATCGGTATCCGCATCGTCATCGTCACTGATGACGTCATCAGTGACGTCACTGATGACGTCATCGGCATCGTCGCGTGACCCCCCCGACGTCACGTGACTCTCACAAGGTCACGTGACCCCCCGCCGCCCGAGGTCGCTTGACCCACCCTTCTACACTTCCCTCCTCCTCCTCAAGAGCTGCGCTCTAATTCGCCATTACAGGGAGTTGTAAAAGGCTTCCATTTTTTTTTTTTTTCTGAAAGTTTGGGGTGTAACGGAGTTTATTTTGATCGATTTCCAATTTTCTAAAATCTGAAGTTTAATTTTACTGTTTCTAATTTTTCAAAATTTATTTAGAAGTTTTGAACTCAAACATACCCTAAATTTATTGGAACTCACCTATATTGAATATTTCTGCAGCTACATTTGACATTGGCAGCCCTGCCAGTGGCAATACTAACTATCCCACAAGGAATATTGCAAATATGTTCTGCCTCAATAACAGTTGATTCTTTGAAATAACTAAACTCCCGGATCTAGTCTCCGAGAATCGTGGAAGCTTTCGCTGCACTTCCCCTCTATTTAAATCTATGGGTTCATACCTTTGACTGTTACAAAAACACTATCCCTCCTTTTCCTAAGAAGCATAAGTGGTATGGTCAGAACTGGGAACCTAACGACTGCTTTTGTCTTGACCCAGAGGTACAACGACCCGTTGTCGTGAACGAACCTTGACAAGCTAAAAGGCGAATCCCCATTGGTCAGTAGTGTAAGGTTTCAAAGGAAACTGAAGTGGAATCTCCTCAGGACCACTGATCATGTGCTCTTATTAAATTTATTTGTAAAACACACTCTTTCTTGCTTTTTGTTTTGCCGTCGTAACCTCTAAATTCTGAGTTTTTCGGACAAATCCGAATTAACAAATTTCTTATCGGCGGGTGTTTTCTGGATTTTTTCAGATTTATCCGAAAACATGGAACCCTCTACTTGTAACGGAATCAGAGTTATTTGAAACCCATGGCAAAAATGTTATGCAAAAAATAATTATAAAAAATTATGTCATGATATTACGTGATGTCAGTCTTTCGCGACAGTTTTCTCGTCGAATTCAGCCGATGAAACGCATTCTGTGTTAAAAGTTGGTTTCATTCACGGAGTGCAGAGCGACCTTGGCAGCGAACCAGAGTTCCTCCCGCCGGAAGAAAGCCTCGAGAAGTCCCTGGAGACGAGCTCGCGTGCCCCGGCATTGGCGTCGCATCTTGAGGAGCAGGGCTGCCGGGGTGAGGGCAGCAGCGAGAGCGGGTTGTGCCCCGCCTACTCCCAGGCCGGCCCCGCCCCCCAGCCCCTGCACCCCGAGGAAGGGGATCACCCGTCACCCACTCTGGCACCCTCCGCCGACTGTGAGTTCGAAGGTACTGCTGCGTCGTGGTTGGCTTGCGTGGCACAACTACCTATGGTGCTTGGAGCGCATCTTTAACCGGTGTGTTTACCGCGACTTCAAAAGCAGTCCCTCAAAAGTGGTCCTCAAAAGAGGTCTTGCTGTTGCCTACCACAATGCTGGTGATGGCACAGCAGCAGAGGCAAATGCAGCAGATGCCTGCCTCGTTGTAGGTTGCTCTGCAGCCGGTCGGTCGACAGAGCTGACGAATTGCAGTTCGGAAAAGCGGCACCTCAGTTCACACAAATGCAGCACACAGAAAAAGGTGGCTCTGTTCTGCTAATAGTCGGCTAAGCGCAGAATCCAATCTAGTATAATCTGTTTGGCCGGCGTAATCTACAGTATAGACCACTTACAACGTAACCGCTTATAGTGCAGGACCGGGTCTATAAAAACAGTCGCTAAAAGGAGGCTCATCACCGTTATCTCCAAACTGAGTTTCTCTACAAAAGGATTCAATAAATGGGAGTCTCCGTACTAATACCGATTAAAACGTGCCTCGGTGAAATGGACGCCCCTAACAACTTGTGGTTTCTGGCTTTAGGCGAGGCGAACCCAGCATACCTGCCGGATGGCCTGAACATCACGGACGAGCAGAAGGCCCAGGCGGTGCACCACCGGCTGAACCAGGTGGCGCTGGAACAGCTGAGCCAAGGATGGCACCTCTGCGACAGGTGTGTGATGCATCTGGCATTCTGGCTAGCAAGGGGTAAAAGTTCTAGCGTGTCTTCCTCTGTTTTGCAGTGCTATAGGGATTTCCTAGCCGTGTTCGCGGCATCAGCGTTGTGCCAAGCAGAGAGCTCGATTTTACGTATGCTCGCACGTGCAGTGCCTCGTGACGCCGGGCAAAGCAAGCACACTTGGCTCTTACCAGGCGACAGTGACTTCTACATCTACAGTTGGCGGGGGGACAACACTACGCAATTTTCACGATAGAAAACAGTTTGCATGTACCATCAGATCTGGGGCAACCCACCAATCGTAATGGTACCTGATCAGTTTAGTTCTGGGTAGAGATGTTGACTGGTGTGTGCAGTTTGTTTCCTTTCTGACATACTTCAGTCGCCACAAGGCGACTAGTGTGTGCGATTGAATGAAAAGTGGATATGCATAAAAGCGGGTGTTGCTATGTGCAAAAAACGGCTGTCACTGTTGCTTTTTTGCACGCTGCTATGAAAAGCTGCAAATTTTTTTCCTCTCTTTTGTGAAAGAGATCTTTAGAGGAACTCTAGACGCTGTCGGACATCAGCAGCATGAATTTGCCTACAATTTTCACATCATTGTGATGGACTACACCATTCGCACCGCATGTTGTTTCGCAGACAGTTTATAGCAAGTTGTGTGCCTTATGTACAAACCTTTCGGCTTGGTGGACTCTGTCTAGTCTACATATTGAAGAAGCAACAATATTGAATGTCGCCAACACTAGTTTCTTTTCCTGCAGGCCTTTCCTGGGTGCCATACTACATGCCCTGGATTGCTCTGAAAACGACCACCCAGCACTCTTTGCATTATGCCTCTTGTACGCCTTGGGACACAACCCAGGTGGGCATCCACTACTGGCTCTTTGACGTCCGCTCGTGTTTTCAGAGCTGCCGAGTCAGCTATTGCAGTTATCTTCTAGCGCAGTGGTTCTCAACCATTGATGTTTCGTTGACCCCTTGTGGATCGGCGGATATGATGGAGGACCTCGTCCGTGGTGAGGGGAAGGACAAGGTATAGGGTAATTATGATAATGATTTAATAAATGTATATACATAGAAGCTAGTGTGAAGTAGGCTTCTTTCATTGACATACACACAAGAAAACTCACCTGAAAATCGTAGCGTTTCTTCTCAATCTGAAAAAAGACAGTTATTGATGGGCTTGACTAATGAGGGAGGGCCTCGTGACCCCTAGAATGCCTTCGCGGACCCCAAAGGTTGTGCGGTCCTTCATTTGAGAACCACTGTTCTAGCATAGTATTTTCACCACATGTGAATGTTTTTTTGGTTTTTTTTGGTTGTCGAATAAGTGTTCTTATTGCCCCACTGCCTTTTTTCTCCAATGCACCCTGGCTGTCTCCCGTTCTCTCAGCTGGTAGGTAGACAGAGTTGTGCTCTCTCACCTGATAACTCCACGGTATGTTCGTGGCAAGAGGGTATCTCGCATTTTGCGTCGCATAAATAAGCCGCGTACTGCAGAAAGCTCAGACTGACCGAATGGAACAACATGGTTGGGATAAGATGACCCGAAGTTTGACCACTTCATTGTCTCTTCGAGAATTGGCGAAGCGATATTGGAACTGGCTTCGACGATTTTGAAAGGAGATGTAATGTCACGCTTTACCTTTGACCATGTGAGATCGTGCAACCTTATGTCTCAAGACGAGGTCACGTGACCCGACGCCACGCGACTCCTTTGAGCGGACTATTTGTTCACGAAAATTTGGCGTAAGCTCGAGTGGGGTTTTTTCTTTTTCATTTCTTTTTTTTATTTGTTTAAAAACCTAGTATGCACAAAGGAAAACAAAAGGATGCCTGTTGTAAAGAGTTTTTTCTGATTACAAGCTTGCTAAAGAAAGAAACGGTTTCGTGGCGCCTTTAAGATTCTGAAAGGCTTTGGCACCGTTCTGCTTTGGCAGGAATCAACGAGGAGCTCTTGGACACGGTCCTAACCCCGTCCGTGCGACCGGAGGTGAGTGTCGGCCAAACTTTGAAGAAGAAAAAACGCCGAGTCGCTTAGTTCGGTTGCAAGTGCTGTGCCCGGAGCGCGTCTTCGAACGGCGTGTTTGGCGTCTCGTCCCACCCGTACATCGAAAGCGGTCCCGAAGGGACAACAAACGACGTCTCAGAAAGCCGGAGTGCCGTGCTGTCGGATGTCGAGGTCCCGGCGGTCAGTCGGTGAAATGCCGGCAAAAAGCACATGCGAACGCGTGTCGCCATCTCAACGGCATCTCAACCCCCGGCCGCTGAAGCTTCCGTGGACTGTCGAACTGGAGAGCAGACTGCAGCAGAAGAGGCGTCTGCCTTATCCGTTGCCGCGCCGCCGCTAGGATCGCGGGTGGCGACAGCATGACTCTTCTACGACATCGTCGGTCGTAAATCGACGGACCGCTTTCTGGGACGGTGTACGCGCACGCCAGTCGGGAGACGCGTCCCAGGCGCCGCATTGCGGGCAAACGAGCCTCGGCGTAGCCGACAGTTTTGAACACGTTTGAGACTCGTTTCCTGCATTGCAGACGAGGCACTGGTACAACGTTGCTCTAATGGAGAAGCTTATCCAGATCATCAGCCTCAGCTGCAAATACGGTAAGTTTCTTTTGTCTTCGATTCCGACTCTGAGTCCTTGTGGCCGACGGGTGGAGTGGTCCGAGCACCGTGGCACGTTTATGTTATTATAAAAGCACCGTAGCATTTTACATTAATGCAGCTTGAGAGAAGCGAATAGGCGCCCACCCAAAATGAAGAGGTGAATGGTGAAAACGTTGAGGTGGGCTATCTTTGGCGATGGGAGGGTGAAACTCGATAAAAAAATTAATGATAAACCCAGGGGCCCCTGCCACAAACCGCAGAACGCAAGAACTGATGCCGCAGGTCGCGACCACGGTGAATTCGAGTTTCACGATGTGACAAACACGCGGGAGCTTGTTAGAAACTCTCGTGTCGCGGTAAAGGATGCCGCGGACTCTGGATGCCACAGATTCGTGCTTCACGGTTGGATGAACACCCGGAAACTGGCTACAAACTTGCTCTCCACAGGAACTGATATCGCGTGCACGAATCGCTGAAAAAGAACATGTGAACTCGCTGCGAACTTGCTTGTGACAAGTACGGGAACCACAGATCGTCCGGTTCACGTCTTGTTGGACAAGGCGTGATGTCCGACGGGAATCGGAGGGTAGGCGATATTTCGGAATTTTTACGTTACTGATATTTAGCTTCAAATACGGAATGGACGGGTCTCTCGGGGAAGGGGAATTTTACTGTAGTTCAATTTTGTGAGTTTTACTTTTAATGCATTTACCTCTCAGTGAGGCTGACATCTAATTCGTGGCAGTTGGCTACAAGTCCCCAGTCAGCACGACATCTACTCTACTTGGCTTGGCAAAACAGGTCCTTCCACGGTTACTATTATCAATGCAGGAATGAAAAAAACTAAAATTTGGACTAAAACTGGACATGGAACAAGACCGAATGAATTGTTTAGCCTGTCTCGTTAGAGTAGTGCCCCATTTAGGGACTCTATTTTAATCCCAGCTTCTCCTTGGCTGTCTTGCTTGTGTGCAGGGAGCAAGGTGCGCCTAGCAACCCTGGAGATGTCGATCCTCCTGCTGAAGCAGCTGGTGACGCTGGACGGCGGGGAGTCGTGCCTGCAGGACGTGCACTTGGCCGGTCTGGAGCAGGCTCGGGAAGAGAGCAGCCTCCTGCTCAGGAACTTCTACAAGGTCTCTCGTCCGACCCAAAACTGTCATTGCGTGCAATTACAGGAACTTCTACAATCAGACTCAAAACTATTGTTGTGTGCAGTCACAGGAACTCCTCTAAAATCTGTCGCCCTACTCAAAGCTATGATGTGTCCAATTACAAGAACTTTGACAAGGTCTCTCGTCCGACTCAAAACTATCATTGTGTGCAGTTACAGGAACGTCTATGAGGTCTCTCGTCCGATTCAGTACTGAGTAACTTCGACAAGGTCTCTCATCCAACTCAAAACTATCATTGTGTGCATTTACAGGAACGTCTATAAGGTCTCTCATCCGATTCAAAACTGACTGTGTTCAGTTACAGCAACTTAGACAAGTTCTCTCATCCAACTCCAGCTATAGTATTCTCTCATCCAACTCCAGCTACAGTATTCCGCACGGTCGTTCCGAGACAAAACAGGACTACAAACTGTAGTGCAACCACAATCAATGTAATGGTAGCAACGTGTGAAGCTGGGCGAGTCGACGCATGTTACAAGAGAAATAAAATGGCACAAAAAATGCAGAGGCACAACTAGGAGTAAAATTTGTCATGTCTGTGTATTCCTCCTGCTTTGCCTCGTCTCTTTGTTATGCTTCTTTATTTTCTTTGAACTGATGCAGGTAAGCCCAAGAACGATACTTTTGTCTTTAAACTTATTGAGCAGACTGCATGGTGGGAAGCTATTTAGCATGTGAGTGGGTGTGTTCATGACACACTAGAGGCTTCTCTTGAACTTTAAGAGAAATCCACAGCCCCTCTTACCAGACCTGAAGTTAGTTGGCCATCATTTGCATAATACTCCTCCGAGAGTCCTCTTAGGAGGCTAGTCTGGCACTTGGAGACCATCATGGGCTTGTCTATGTGAATGTGACTAAAGCTTTTTTTAACGCAATGCGCGTTATCGGCCGATTTCCATGGAGTTCTGTAACGTCTGGTTGTAACAGCTGACTGCAACGAAAAACCGACACCGAAAAGCGTTACGTCCACTGGGATCCCTATAAAAAGACTTGAGTCCCTTTGCAGGATTTGAACTTGCCACCTTGGGGATTGTGAGCCAAGTGCTTTGTAGGCCGAGCTATCCAGGGTCGGGGGTCGGAGCATGCAAAAGTGAAATCATATGCGGCACGTTTTGTGGCTTTTCCTGCCGTGCTGCACCATCTCACGGCCTGTGTCAGAAATGAGAGTGGATCTTTGATAGGCGCTGCCATTCGGATGCCCTTCTCTTTTTCCCCGGGAGGCCTACCACACATTCGCTGCTTACCAGTCTCTGTCAGTGCGATGAAGCTCGTATTTAAATTGGCAACTACATATAATAGAGAAGCACGCTGACGACCAGCACGACCATCATGGGCATTCGCTGCACAATATCTTTGCGTTCCAGATTGCCGCGTGGATAGTGTCTTTTGTGCCCGAAGTTGGTAACACCGTTCTCTTGGTTCACACAGAGTGAAGAGATCTTTCTGGACATGTTTGAGGACGAGTTTCAGGAGATGAAGGTGAGTGGCATAGTTTTCACGGGTCAGAGGTGGCAGCTGATGTGGTTGCCCGTGTCCGCGTTGCCAATGCAGAAGAAGCCCCTGAATGTAGAGTACCTGATGATGGACGCCAACCTCCTGCTGCCCCCCATGGGTACCCCCATGACGGGCATCGAGTTCCACAAGCGGCTGCCCTGTGGGGAGGTGGAGAGGGCACGCAGGGTGAGTGCTCTCGCTCCCTTCGTCCAGGGCCAGCTCCTGGCACTTTGCGTCCGTGTTGGACTGTAGCCTCAATAGGGCACGAGGCCACGGTGTCTCGTGACCCGACGTCGCGTGACATGTCGTGACATTGTCTCTTCCCCCACCCCGTGAACCCAGGCCATCCGTGTCTTCCTGCTCCTGAGGGAGCTCTCCCTGGCCCTGACCAATGAGAAGGAGACTCAGCTTCCCCTCACCAACCTGGCCAGCTGCGTCAAGGTGGACGACGTCCTTGACCTAAGTGAGTGGTCCCTTTTTGGGAAAGTCTTATTCCCCACTACAGGTTCTCTGCAGTACCTCTGACAGTGTTAGACCCAAAGGTTCTCACCATCTAGTCACTTTGTTGAACATTCCCCCAGAGCTGCACAAATTACTCTTAACAGCAGGTGAGAATTGTGGTTGCTTACTTGAGCCAACATATAGTTAAGCTAGAAATATACTAGCTAGTACATTCTTGCCAGTGTATCTGGATACATTTACAGTTACTTGCACAAAGAAACAAAGCTCCTCTCTGACTGCCCTTTTTCAAAAGTTGGAGCCATTTAGCGGCAGTCACAGAAGCTCCAAAATATCTACTCTGATGGTGGCAACGGGAGAACTTGAGCACCCTAAATCACCTGCCTTCATCTTTGTGGATTGAATGCAATGTACATACAAGGACCGAATTGTGGGAATGGACTCTTCGCCGCATGCTCTATGCTCTTCAAAGTGTTCCAGTTCTTTTGCGTGGAGGACCCGCGTGATATCGCCACTAGGGCATTGGGTTAGACTGCGGACAAAATAAACAGACAGACTTTTGAAAAGGGTCTACCTATTCCTCGAAAATATACCATGACATTGAACGGTGATGCGATAGCTGACAAACTGCTTGGTCTTCGGTGCTTCCATTTTTCGCTGTCCCGTCGATTCATTGTGATGAGGGTTTACCGTATAACAAAGCTCGTACCGAATGGATCTAAAGCATGGTTTTTCAAACTGGTTTTCTAGCAACCCAGGGGTGGGCCACAGAGCACCCAACGGTTTCCCTGAGCTCCCAAACATTCTTGACCGCCCTTAAGCGAGTGTTTTTTTTTCCAGTTTAAGACCTATTTTAGCGAGTGAGCTATCCATATTGATGCATAACTATGAACCAAACACTCCCAGTTGGATGCATTAGCTTATAAGGCTCGTAGCTTCTGCTCTGCTTTATTTCATCAATGCTGAGACCAAGAGGTGTTCCCCAACTGCCATTCAGGGTGGGTTCCTCGAGAGCCTCTGCTCTGGAGTCTGTCATCGCTTACACTAAAGTTGTTTGCCGTCGTCTCTTCTGCAGACAACAGTGACCTGATTGCCTGCACGGTGGTGGTGAGCAAGGAGTCCCAGAAAATTCGCCGCTTCATGGTGATTGACGTGGCGCAGCTGGTCCTCGTGGAGCCGGACTCCAAGCGGCTGGGCTGGGGAGTGGCCAAGTTCGTCGGGTTTCTGCAGGTGAGGGAGAGTTTGACAAACTCGAGAGCCTTTTCCCGAATAACTTGGGTCGGGACTACAACAAGATGCATTTTGGGAAGGAATTTGTCATTGTGCTCGTCATCTTTTGTAAGGGAAACTGAAAGAGTCAACTCGCTTACTTTGTCTCTCAGCAGTTTTAGACGGTGCTAGTCTGTTAAAAATGGGTATGATAACAAGGTACTAGTATGTTTTTCTTGCTCTGCACTGCACTAAGCAACAAAATGGCGCCACTCGCAAGACAATTGGGGTCGAGTGTACATACCCTTAGACATAGCTCATTTGGTGACTCTGGCACACATAGACAGAGTTCTTCTATACATACCTTATTGGTGCTTAAGCTGACAGGGCAGCAAATACAACAAATGCGAGCTAGCATGCGCTGACTGCTCTGAAACGTGCCTTTTTATACCCTGTTTCACAATAACTTGGCGAACTGTGGCGGCTGAGGCCCCCGCAACGCAATAATAGCATCGGAGCGAGTCACGTGATAACAGTCCTTGGTCGAGGCCACGGAGGCCCCGCTACTGCCACAGCAACAGGGCTATCCGCAATAAAAAGTAGTTCTGGGTTTCTTTTTCTTTTACCGGCAATCAAACTCTCGCGATTCTATCTCTATCGAGAATATGTTAAACAAAGAGGAATAAACATTGGCAAATGAATAAGTTTCAATTATATTTAAACCAAAAAAGTAACGCCACATCCGTATCCGCTACGAATTTTTTTCTCTTTGTAGCGCTGTAGCCGTTGGCGATCGCAGCCGTATAATTGACCGCCTCCGCTCAAAACATACTGCTGGCATTAGCACCCGTTACAGATTCGCGGCTAAATTGAGTGTATGGTTGTCTCATGAACTGTTCCCAAAGAACTTGTTGTTGAGGTAGTGGATGTTCATTTGAAGTTGGTCAGTTTCGCAGCAGACACACTTGTCCAGCAGACGACTGCCAGTTCTTTGGCGCAGTGACACAAATGTTTCCGGGATCTGGTGTCACGCGTCTTGCTCCGGCGCTCTTATTGAGTCGCGGGGGCCGTAGCCTCCACAGTTAGCCAGGTTATCGTGAAACATGGTCTAGTAAACTTTCGTTAATTTGACTTCGACGGGATCTTGAAATTTGGTTGAATTATTTGAATGATTGAATTAAAAAAAGGACAGAAAAACGGTTAAAATTAAACTTCCTTTTATTGTCCAAAGTACTCGCGGATGGGCTGCTGCCGTTTGCGCTTAAAACGCGTGTCCAAAAGCATGCTCCAGAGAGCAACGTAACTAAACGTCACATCCCCAAAAAATCGCGCACTACAAAAAGAAAAGAAAAAAAAGAAAGGTTTACGAGCTGACTTTGGCGCCGGGCAGCCAGGTTGTCGGCGACAAAGAAAACTAACAAAAAGGAAAGAATGAAAAGAGAACCCGCGCTTTCCGGCGCGCACGGTGGACCGCACACGATGCTACAAAAAAGCGCTTCAAAAGCGCACGCTGAGAAAGCTTTACGAGCCGACTTTGGTGCCAAGCGGCCAGGCCATCGGCAACAGAGAAAAAAAAAAAGGAAAAGAGACCCCACGCTTTTTGGCGCGCAAGGACCGCACGTGATGCTACAGAAAAGCGCCTTGAGAACGCGCGCTGTCTCTTCGCCTGCACAGGCTACGTTCTCTGCGCTACTCTACGCCAGATTGGTTGCGCTGGCTCGTGTCATTCGCTACGGTCCATCCCAACGGCGTAGAGGAGCAGGTGCATATTTGCACACAATCGGCTTTGCAGCAAAGGGCCCATGTTTCGCCTTACGTTGGTGGTTTTCTGCCGTGTTGCCCTGTAACGTGAGCCCTCGCGCATTCGCTCAGGACGAATTATCCGATGCGGAGTCTTCCCGAGTTCGAACTATCGAACTTCCTCCCATAGAAATGTATGAGCGCTCGCCGGGACTTCTGAACATGATCGAATTAAATGAAAAGTCGAATTAACCGAGGTCGAACTAACGAAAGTTTACTGTATAGCTTGAGCACTCGTTTTGTGTGAGGGCATACAGTAAAACCTCGTTATAACAAAGTTGAAGGAGCGATCGTAATTATTTCGTTATAACCATTAGTTTGTTATAGCCAATGTCCATTTCTTCCCTATTAGCAAGCAAGGGGAATTATGATTGCTTTGTTATATCCATTAGTTTGTTATATCCCATTTTGTTATAACGAGGTTTTACTGTATATTAAAGCCTCGTGTCTGTAACCTTAGCTGCAGAAAGGGGTGTGGGCCATTTCAATAATTGCCTTCTCTGTGCCGCCATACTTGTCCACTGGGCTGCAAAGCGCAGTAGCTCTGCTATGGAAGATGCCGTGCACGAAACCACGGGCCAGGGGCTCGACGTATGTCGCCTAAGGTGTACAAGTTTCTGTGAAGTGTGGCACGGCTTTAATTTCTTGCCATCTCCCGCAGGACATAGAGGTGACGGGCGACAAGGAAGACAGCCGGTGCCTGCACATAACGGTGCACGGCCGCGGCGCCACGGGTGGCTCCGTGGCAAGCGGCGCCGCGGGTCGCGGCGTACCACTGCTGGCGGCGCGGTTCTTGTTCGACGACCACATCCGGTGCATGGCGGCCAAGCAGCGGCTGAACAAGGGCCGGTTGAGGGCGCGCCAGCGCAAGATGCACCACATCGCCAGGCTGCTGGACATGCCCCTGCCGCAGACCTGCCCGCCGGCATCGCCGCTGAGGCACCACCATGCTCACCTGGCGGTGGGCAGGGCACCCTCTACAGTGTCCGCGGCAAGCGGCACCACGGCGGGTGAGTGGCCTTCGACGCACTCGTAGCACCCCATCTTGCGGGGAAAAGACGGGAGCAGAGGGCGGCTACGACGCCGGGAACGCGTCTTTGACGGGTTTGTTCAGCGTCCTTTTCTGCCCGTGCGTTGAAGGTGGCCCTGAAGTGCCAACAAGTGACGTCACAAAAGGCGGAGTGTTATGCCGTCGGATGTCGCAATCCTGGTGGTCGGTCGAAGAAGTTCCCGCAAAAAGCCTCGGCAAACGCGAGTTTCGCTGTCGCGTCCCAACTCCCGGCTCCCTGGAAAAGAAAGCTTACTCGTGTTTGTTTTTGCAACGACTCATTCAAGTTATCGCTAGTTTTTCTGCTCTCGTTTTGATTCGTAGCATGTGTGGTGGGGTTGTTTTCTTGCAAAGGGAAGCTAAAAAAGACTAGATGTCGACCTTGCAAGTGATAAATAATCACTGCTGCGTGTTCATTCGAGGTTTGGCGGCAATCCAAGCCCACCGAAACCACCCGCGTTTGTTTCTGTGCCCCAGCGTTCCGAGGCGATCAACATACCTGGGAAAATGTCAGATTCTCCCTGTAAGAATTGCTGCGTGAACTTTGTGGCCATGCTGAAAGTGCCGTCTTATGTGGGGAGCCGATAAACCACTTCCGCGGCGACTACTCGGACGCAGTTGGGCAACTAGATTTGGCATCATCTTGTCACCTCGCTTGTTAGTTCGTTTCGCACTTTCCCGTTAGAATGCGAATTGGCTGATCTAGCCGCACGTCTTCTCGGGAAAGACGTTGGAACTTTGTCGTGGAACCAGGAATAAGAGTGCCCAGTAGCCAAGGAAATTCTTAGCGGACAACAATGTTTCTCTACGTGTTTCAACACTCATGCTAGCAGGATCGCATCTTGGACGTGGAATTACAGTCTAAGCTCGTTAAGACAGACCTTGATTTTGACCAAGATTTTGGTCTGTTGCAAGAGGAGTATGTTGTATGGCAGATACGAAGTTGAGTCAATAGCATGTGGAGGAAAACCAACCGAACTTCACAAATCAGTATGTTATATCCAAATGTCTGTTGTAATGAGCATAGACTGTAGTAGGTTGGTACAGTTGATTCCCACTACAGCGAATGCCACTTGACCGAAATTCTCGCCCCAAAATCTATTCTCAATTCATGTCGGTCGCTCGTAAAAGGTGAAGCATCCGAATTCTCTCCTCGGCAATCAACTTTCCCGAGGCTGTATTACTTTAACAAAGTTTCTTTTGAAGCAAAACTGAACTTGGTCATCTGATTTATGAACAGAAAGAATATAAAGACGTCTTCGTGCATCCACTCGTGCGTATAGGATGACAATGCAATGATATTGTGGTTTGCAGTCTAGCCAAACGGCTAAAAAAGGCAACATGCAAACTGCCGTTTTGATGCTAAAACATTGTTTGATGGTGATGACGACATAGCAGGGCGTTCTGCAAGAGCTCCAAACCCTCAATAAAGCAAGGGCCCCAGGCAAGGGCCCCAAAGCAAGGGCCCCAAGAAACCATGATTTTTTTGCATTCCTTGCCTCCGCATCCATCTTCCTCGAAGTTCACCCAACTCGCCCCTGAAGCAGCGTCGTCTGTCCATTCCGCGCAGGCTTGATGCACCGGAGCCAGTCTCAGGACACTGGCCTCCGTGGACGCAAGGCGGCGGTGGCAGCAGCGGGAGGTGGCTGCCCCGCGGCACCGCACCAGCCGTACCGGCCCCTCTTCACCACTTCGACCAAGCTGCCGGGATTCGCGGAAGCCCGCACGGGACATCGGGGAAGTGCGGGGGACATCGAGGAACGCAGGCGGAGGTGGGGTCACTTTTCCTTTGGGATGCAATGTGCAGGCTTCTTTCTGGCTAAAGTTGAAGCCTGGGCGAGCTGGTACGACATGTTTGAAAATTAAAACTGCACAAAAGACGAGGGACCAGACGAAGAAAGACGCAGACACAGCGCTTTCTCACAACTAAATTTTGTAGCTTTGAGCTGCACTGGCCGAGGTTGAGCAGTTTCGCGTGGCTCCCAAAGAGCTGTGTCGCGCATGCGCGAGAAGCGGTGACGTCACACAGCGCACACCTGGCGCGCCAGAGCCGCCGCCGCGGTGCGCTCCGCCGCCGCCGCGCACGCCTCGCCGGTCTGTGCATTCCAGAGGAGTGACGTCATAGCCGCGGCAGATGCACTGGCGCCGCCGCGTGCCCAGCTGTGTGCCTCCGTTGCGCAGTAGCCAAACCTGACATTGTACCGGAGCCGCTTGATAGCGCCTCTCATTCTGTGCGCATAAGCTCACGCTACGTATATCCTGGCATAGCCGAGCTAAGCCACTGCAATTTTTTTACAGCGAAGCTGTTATACGCTAGGGTCTGCGAAAAAATGTGTCTTCACATGTCGACAGGAAACTCCCCATTGGTCGTGGCAAGTATGAATAAATAAAAGCAAAAAGAAGGATCAAGTATGAATAAATAAAAACAAAGAGGGGGCAACCAGCGTGAGTCGGCCTTTTTTGGCATTATTAGATAGTGTTGAGACCGGTTATAACGAAGTCAACGGGAATCGGAAATCACTTCGCTATATCCGCTATTTCGTTATAACCGACTTCGGTTAACGAAGTGCAAAAGGGAATGGAAAATTGTGATCGCTTCGCTGTAGCCGCTATTCCGTTATAACCGACTTCGTTATAACCGGTCTCGGCAGTAGTGAGGTCCTGATCCCTTATTATCATCTCTAGGCATCGTCTTTGAGGTCGTCCTAGAAGCCGTGTCTGGTGTCGTCCTAGAAGTTGTCCTTAAGGTCGTTCTCTAGGTGTCGTCCTAGACATTGTCCTCAAGGTCATACTAGAAGTCATCCTTGAGGTCATCCTAGATGTCTACCTCTGTGCGGCGTCTTCAAGGTCATCCTATAGGATCACATCTAGGATGACCTTAAAGGGATACTACAATGAAATTTCGGCGCTCATTTTTTGGTTTATATGGGTTCAAAGGAGCAGCATCACATCGAACATACTAATATCTTGTTAAAAAAGTCACGAAAAGGAATTTTAAAATGAATTAAACGATTAGCAAAGAGCACCTGGTGGATGTCGCTAACGCCTCGCTTGTAATGCCCGTCTAGGAACCTTGACAGCTAGTGACGGAGGTTGTCTCGCCTCCGGCCACGACGAAAGAAGAGGGGCAAGAGGAACTCCCCTCTTCCCGAGAATGCCTTTTGTGTGTCGCGGAAGTCGCTACTGTCCCCCTACAAGATTACAGAAGATCAACCTGCCACTCAAAATTCGTACAAAAGCAGCCGCTTCGGTGGCTGGAACGACTAGGCCATCCTCTCGACGTCAGCCTCGCCGTAGCTTTGCTCGTCTTGAGACGACCTACGTCACGATTGCGTTGGGTGTCACGTGGTCTCCGCTGGGCCTTCTCCGAGCGCTTGCTAGAGTGGGCCGTTTATAACAAAAAATACAGCCACCAGGCTCAAAATACAAACGTGCGATTGTCGTTTACGGATATTGTGGATCATATTCAACCTATTTTTGAACACGACGGGAATATTTCAAATTTCGTTGAAGTATCCCTCTAAGGACGACCTCAAGGACGGTCCTCGAGGTCTAGATCAAGAGATCCCGCTGCTAAGTTTCGCTGCGCGAATGGCGCGGCAGAAGGACACGTGTGGCAGCTGCTCCGCGGGATTTCACCACAAGCAGCAACAGATTGTTTGCTGTGCGTGTTTAACTCGTTTTCACTGCAAGTGCGTGAATATCGTCAATGATGACTACGACCTACTCGTGCAAGATGGGGTGAGCCAGTACAAGTGTGCGAAATGCGTCAAGCGAAAAAACGACGACGACGACCAAGTTCCCACGCCTAGAATTTCAACCACGGAATATACAATGGACGCGGAAACCGACACCGATGACATTCTCTGTGCTGCAGCAGGTTCATCGACATCAAAGAAAGACATGCAAGCGGTACTGGAAGAGCTCGTTGACCAGTTCGCACGACTAAAAGCGGAAAACGCCTCGCTACGTCAAGAGGTTCGTCGTCTCAACGACACCGTCTCTTTGTTCGTGAGTCAACGCTCCAGGAATATTTCAGACACAACTGACCGCTCTCGTCCGTCGTCCTACGCATCTGCCACTGTAGAGTTTCCCGCCTTGAGTTCCCGACAGCAGAGCCCACCGAGACCTCGAAAAGCGCTGCCAGCTGACACTTCAGCGAATGCCATCGGACCAACTGGGCTCTTTCCACCTGCAGCGTCTACAGCCCAACGAGACTCCGTTCCACGAAGCACCGTGGATGGTGACGGCTTCACCCTTGTCACCCGCCGTAAGCCCGTAAAGCCCTCTGTCGGAACTTCGAAAGCGTCAAAGATAGCCGTGATTCAACGTGCCCCACAAGAAAGAGCCCTGTTTGTGTCAAGACTGTCCCCGGAAACAAGTACGAAGGACGTTGAGGATTTGGTCGCTGCTGTTTTGCAAGGTAAAACTTTCGTATGCACGAAATTGAAAACCAAACTTCCTTACTACGCGTCTTTCCACATTCTCGTTGACAAAGAAGTATTTGAAGCGATAAACAGCGTGTCTGTCTGGCCAGAAGGCTGCATCTTCAGGCAATTTTTTGGACCACTTCCTGTGTCGCGCCACTTCGATAGTGCAGAAAGCAACGTTGAGGCTGGTGCGACTGCAGCGTAATTCACGGTTTTCTTTGCACTTGTTTGTCCGTTGTTTTTTCTTTTTTTTTCCTTTTAACCTCTAGCTTCATGGCCGAATACCATGAACTTCTATTGCCTGTTAAACTAAAGCGATATGCAGGAACCAAAGACTCGACCACGATCTTACATTTAAATATACGCTCTTTGAAATGTAAAAGTGACAATTTTATTACTCTTTTAGATCAACTCTGTGTTTCGTTTGAAGCGGTGATGCTTTCCGAAACATGGTACGCAACAGATGACGATGTTTTTATCGTGCCGGGTTACAATCACTTCTTTTTGAATCGAAGCGGAAAACGAGGGGGAGGTGTTTGTATCTATGTTAGACAGGATTTTAGATGCGAAATACTCGATGCCTTTACCGAAATTACAGACGACTATGAAATCGTAACTGTGAAGCACGGACGTCAGCTGCTTTCTGTTATGTATCGACCGCCAGCTGGTAGCTTTAATAACTTTTTGTCTTTTCTTGAGAGGTATCTTGATTTCATATCCTTGAATAACTACTCACTTGTTCTGGGCGGTGACTTAAATGTAAATAGTTCGGAAAACTCTTCTCTTTCTTCACGACTGAGTAGTACACTCAGTAGTAGTGGTTTTTGCAATGTGATTGTGTCCCCCACCAGAATTACTCATTCTACGGCAAGTTGTATCGACGTTTTTATTACCAATATAAATACTATAGTTCGCAGTGCAGGTACTATTAGTAGTGATATAAGCGATCATTTACCAATATTTTTTTGTTTTCAAACCCGTGATTTATCACGGAGCGTCGGTAGACTCGTAACTTTCCAAGCGATAACCGACTGCCAACTGCGGTCCTTTCGAAGCACAGTCATGCAAACAGACTGGACTTCTGTCTTTTCAAAGCAATGCGTGAACGAAGCATATGATGATTTCATAAATATTTTTAAGACGCTATACATCGCATCGTTTCCATATAAGACGGTTACTGCTAAAAAACGAATAAGAAAACCATGGGTCACGCCACCTATTCTAACAATGATAAGAAAAAAGAATCTCTTATATCAGGAGTACCTCTGTTCAAAGGATGACGGTGACCATGCAGTTTTTAAGAGGTATCGCAATCAACTGACATCCGCACTTAAAAAATCAAAAACAGAATATCACAAACGTCTTTTTCATGACGCCCACAAGAAGCGTCCTGCGATTGTTTGGCAGTCGATAAATGAAGTGCTTAAACGCAGCAAGCAGAAGAATTCAATAGATGAACTTTCACTTTCTGGTGAGAGCGTATCAGGAGTACAACTATCTGAGCTCTTTAACAGACATTTTACTAACTTGCCTTCTAGCGCGCACAATGAGCATGCTTCCTCGTTTATCTCGCACCGTGTAACAGACACAATTTTCCTACAACCTACAGACGAATTGGAAGTGATCCGTGTATTTATGGGATTGAATAACAGTAAAAGCCATGACATAGACGATATACAAATAAAGCCCGTTAAATTCGTAATCGATGTGGTGGCCCCACTCTTGGTATATATATTTAACTTAGCATTGTCGAGTGGTCAATTTCCGAATAACATGAAACTCGCAAAAGTTTCAGTTTTGCATAAAGGTGGAGACAAAAATTTAGTTACAAATTATAGACCCATCTCTGTTCTTCCAATATTTTCTAAAGGGCTGGAAAAAATTATATTATATTGTTTAGACAATTTTTTTACGAAGACCTCAGTGCTAACTGACTCCCAGTTCGGATTTCGCAAGGGAAAATCCACGGAAAGCGCTCTGATATCACAGAAAGAAATAATATTACACAATATAGAATGCAAACTGCTGACACTGGGAATATTTATTGACCTTAGCAAAGCGTTTGACTGTCTTAACCATTCGACGCTCCTTGATAAACTTTCATGTTATGGCATACGTGGCACGCCTTTGATACTTATTCATTCATATTTAGAACACCGTAAGCAATGTGTCTCCGTGAGTGATCATGTTTCCTCTTTGCAAATCTTGAAGTTTGGTGTGCCCCAAGGCAGCATACTCGGCCCTCTGCTGTTCAATGTATATATAAATGATCTAGTCAATATTTGCCATCAAGCACGTTTTGTAATGTATGCAGACGACACGAGTATATTTCTGTCTGCATCGAATATGGACGAACTTATTACCCATGGGAAACTTAGTTTTGGAAAAGTTTCTTTCGTGGTCAAAAATAAATGGTCTTAAAATAAACACTGTAAAGTCCAAAGCAATTTTGTTTAGACCTGTAAATAAGCACGTTATTAGTAATTATACTCTAGAGATTGGAACTGACCAGATTGAAATAGTTAAACAGCACAAAACGCTAGGTGTCATTTTTTCAGAACATATGCAATGGGATAATCACATCGAATACTTAGTTACGAAACTGTCAAAAGTTGTTGGAATAATATGCCACTGTCGCTCCTTGTTGCCTGTAAATATTAAAATGCAAATTTATCATGCTCTGTTTAGCTCACAAATTAACTATTGTCATTTGGTTTGGGGCACAACAACCAAATCTAATATTAACAAACTCACGATCCTACAAAAGAAAATGCTGCGTTTTATTGCAAACGTGCCTTACGACACTCATACTGAGCCATTATTTCTTAAATTCAACATCATGAGGATTGCCAGTGTATACGAGTACCGTTTGCTATGTTCTTATTTATTTTCGACCGCTGAGTTTGCTTCTTTTTTGTCTAATGTATCCCATCTGACAAAACGTGAATCCTTCATCCTTGTCAGACGCAGAGAGTTCTGGAACGTGCCTCATTTTCGTACAAATTATGCACTCCAATCTATTGCGCATAACCTGCCTTCATTACTTAACAAGTTCCTTATAGACCACAATGATATTCACTGTTTAACAAAAAAAGATGTACGTGTTTGTTTTGTTTAGTCAAAGTGTATTCTGTAGTACTTGTTTTTTTTATAATGCCCTGTAAGTGCAGGGGCACCAGGCCCAGTCAAGCTACCTCATGGAAGCTTTTTGTCTGGTGCCCTCAGCACAATATTGCTGAAAATAAATATTACTTACTTACTTACTTAAGTCCGAAAGAGAGTTAGCTGACCTAATACGGCGCACGTTACGCACTCCGATTTCAAGCAACTTCCAATGTGTAGTCCTAAGGAGTGGAACTGGCCGAGTGACGTCCGTAGGCCATGACTGGTCCTCTGATTTCGCTCTGGTTTCTTCCACTTTTCCTCTGGTAATGCAGTGCTCAGCCGCGCAACATTCTGCTGCTGGCAACAGGCTAAGAACTCAGATTCTCCGCCCCCAGTGTACCCTCGTTACCTTTTGATAAGCGTTTGGCTCGACGTGCAAGCGTTATCAAAGGCAGAAGAGATTGTGCCGGAGGCAGAGCATGTGCTGCCTTCTCAACCTGTCACCGAACATGTACTAATGTGGTTAGTTGGACGAGTTAATAATGATTGAACATGGTTAAAATTGCGCACAAAAAGATAGGAACAATGAAGAGAGAAGAGCGCTTGTCTCTTCTCTCTTTACTGTTCCTTTCTATTTGTGCGCAATTTTAACCATGCCAAACATGCTGTTCCGAGCTTGAAACAATTATTTTTGCGGGGGTGTCGAGTCGATATGACCTGTAGAATGTATTACATCATCGCTAGTGGACCCTGAGCCACCTAAAACAACAAACACGCCAAAGGTCGACGAGGACACGCTGCAAAGCAGCAGAAGCGTGCGTCCTGGCATCGCAGTGGGCTTGCGTCATGGTCGTTGTGGAGCACTGCAAGACACGCTCGCGGCAGCGCAGACGTGACGCGGTCGTCTTCTACGGCGCGTTTCAGAGCACTGTTCGGCTTTAAAAAGAGCTCGTATAAATAAGTGCATTGCAACTTTCCACAAAGGTGTCTTTAGCTGGTGCATCTGTCATACTCAAATTTCACAAATGTGGGTGTCGAGAAAAATGTTTTAAGAAATTGATCTCGATTCTAAGAACGGAGTTTGTATACACAGAATGCGGTTTCGCAGCAACTTTCGGGGCTTGCAACAATCTTTGCAGTCATTCTTTTTTTTTCTTCTATTATTTGCATGACGACCGCACTCGCATAATAAAAAGTTCTAGCGTACGCAAAGGCTTTGCGTGCACAAAAAATAGCGTTGTTGCCTCTTTGCACGCTCCGTGGCGAACTGTAATTTGCGCTTTGCGTGTGCTATTTTAGTATCCGCTATTTTTCTGAAATTGTGTGCGTAAGCAGAGTTTTTGTGTTCGTCCAAGGAGGATTTGTGATGAAAGTTGACTAAAGCCAAGATGAACAGTGTTAAAAAGTGGCGGTTCCCAGGACTGCAACTGCAGCCACCTCAACAGCGTCTTGAGCATGACGTTGGTGGCATCCTTGCGACTGAGCTTTTCAACACGGGACGACATTGCACTCCTACGGGAGGTGCACGTTACAAACGATTTGAGAGACCAAGCAAGGTGGGCAACGATTGCCGGCAACTTGCCGCTTGCAACGCACAAACGTTTCTCGGCGAAGGTCGGCACACGAGACCTCTCTTGCCGAGTTGACACAAGTGGACACGACCGGTCAACCTCTCCCATCGCATTCTCATATTTAAACAAATTAAAGTGTTACTCGGGACCGAAAATACTTTTTTTTTCTCAAGTACAGCATTTCATGCATTGCAAGTGTGAGCTCTTGGCGGAGAAACACTATCCTAAAACTCTTGCGTAAGCATGCACTAAACCAAGTTCTAAATTTAGCACTAGCATGCGCTAAAATTGCGTATGTTATCCTAAAACTCCGTGTTCTCTGTTAATAAAGCCTGAAAAATCCTGTTTTTATTTTTGCCTGAGCACAGGAAGGAAAACAATAAAAACTGTGGATGATGCTACTACTCACTGGGTGATACCGCACACGCTCGGATCCGCTAGACCTGCCGTCAGGCGTTTGCCTCAAAGAAGCTTTCTCGTTTTTGTTTCGTGTTGTGCCGTCTGTGATGCGAGCCATCTGTGGTGCGATGCCGTGTGTGATTAGGGGCGTTAACCAGGCGGTTTTGACCGTTTTCCTCGCCGACCTAGGAAAAAAAAATTTTTTAGGGTTAAATATTTTTTTTTAAGCTCTATACTTGTGAAATTTGAGTATGATAACTGCACCGCCTAAAGGCCCCTTTGGGGGAAGTTTTTGTTGCACTCGATTCATTGGTTGATTTGTAGAAATATCTTTACGCCTGAAATAGCACTCGGAAACACCCCTATTCAGAAATGCCCTGGAGGGTGCTTTGAGCGCCATATAGAAGCACCCTGTAGGGTGTTTCTGAGCGCTATTCAGTAACGCCCTGGAGGGTGCTTATAAGCGCTATACAGAAGCACCCTGTAGGGTGTTTCTAAGCGCTATTCAGAAATGCCCTGGAGGGTGCTTATGAGTGCTATACAGAAGCACCCTGTAGGGTGTTTCTGGCACTATTCAAAAACACCCTGGAGGGTGCTTATGAGCGCTACACAGAAGCACCCTGTCAGGTGTTTCTGAGCGCTATTCAGAAACGCCCTGGAGGGTGCTTACGAGCGCTATACAGAAGCACCCTGTAGGGTGTTTCCGAGCGCTATTCAGAAACGCCCTGGAGAGTGCTTAGAGCGCTATACAGAAGCACTCTGTAGGGTGTTTCTGAGCGCTATTAAGAAACGTCCTGGAGGGTGCTTTTGAGCGCTATACAGAAGCACCCTGTAGGGTGTTTCTGGCGCTATTCAAAAACACCCTGGAGGGTGCTTACGAGCGCTATACAGAAGCACCCTGTAGGGTGTTTCTAAGCGCTATTCAGAAACGCCCTGGAGGGTGCTTACGAGCGCTATACAGAAGCACCCTGTAGAGTGTTTCTGAGCGCTATTCAGAAACGCCCTGGAGGGTGCTTACGAGCGCTATACAGAAGCACCCTGTAGGGTGTTTCTAAGCGCTATTCAGAAATTCCCTGGAGGGTGCTTAGAGCGCTATACAGAAGCACCCTGTAGGGTGTTTCTGAGCACTATTCAGAAACGCCCTGGAGGGTGCTTAGAGCGCTATACAGAAGCACCCTGTAGGGTGTTTCTGAGCGCTATTCAGAAACGCCCTGGAGGGTGCTTAGAGCACTATACAGAAGCACCCTGTAGGGTGTTTCTGATTGCTATTCAGAAACGCCCTGGAGGGTGCTTACGAGCGCTATTCGCAAAACACCCTGTAGTGTGTTTATTAGCGCTATTCGTGATGGCAGTCCCTCCCCCCAGGCGTTCCGGAAGCAGCCCTGTGGGGGGGCGCAACCGCTCGGCGTCTCGGTCGAGAGAGTCGTCCCCCCGCCTTAGCCACCGGCCGAGGGACCAGTCGGAGGAGATTCCCCTGGAGGACCTCTCGCGGCGGGGCGCCGGATGCCAGGTGGCCCCCTCCCCGTGCGGGCAGGAGGTGAGGGTGCATTGAGTTTTGGGGGTAGGTTTTTCCCCGACCTGTTAACCCATCCTTCCAATACGGTATGCAAATGCATCTCCTAATGCTAATTCTGAATCTGCATTAAAATTTAATGTGTTGTTTCTTATACGAAAGATGTAAAAGAATGTATAAGCCTAATAGGTAAATTTTTTGGGGTCGTTAGGGTACATTCTCCCTAAAAATCTTTCCTTCTAACTACATGTAGGAATTTCCAATAGTCCACCATACGTCCTAAAGCTAATAGAATGTTTATAAGGCAGTGTTATTTATTATAAATAAATCAAAGTTGTGAAGAGGAAATAAATGGAATGATAATTACCTTAAGATGCAGCTAATTACTTTTTATCTGTTGAGTATAGGGCAAAAAGTAAAGCTTTAGGATGAGGTTCAGTCATTGCAGAAAACAATGATGCCAAGTTCTCTGAAGTTCATTCAGAAGAACATTGTCCGAACCCCCCCGTAAGGCAGCGGCTCTTGAAAAGAAAGGCAAAGTTGTGAAGATCAATCTCGGAAGTTTCTCGCATATTTCAGCTGCTTGAGACTCAAAACTTGACGAGTTTAGGATTGCTAGAAATTGAATTGAGCAGTCATACTTTTCTGGAGGAGATGGTCTAGGCTGGCAGTTCTCAAACTGTGGTCTGCAAACCTCAGAATGCTCAAAAACAATCATAAAAATCCGTGCAACAAAAAAAAACAAAAAAATTGTCTGAGAAAAGACAAAAAGCTTTTTTACAGCATCGCGCAAGAGCTCCGATGTAGAATGCATTAGACCTTGAATGGCCTCCGTGTGGGTCCGTGACAGCAAAAAGTTAGAGAACCGCTGCTCTAGGCTGTGAAGATTTTAAAATTCTGGTTTTGAAAAATCAATGATTCGGTAATTATTTTGCACTTTAAAGACCCCCTTAAAGCAGTAGCCTTATTTGGGAACTCTCTCAGGCCTTGCTTGCTCATGTTTGTGTTGGTTGTACCGTAGAAGGCCATTGGAGGGGGCGTCAGCAACAGAGCATGGCTGTTCCTGACACTGTCCCTGCCTCTAGAAGCGAAGTGTAGTGCAACCTCTTGGCATCACAAAATGTCGGGGTGTCACAAGACGTCACATTGTCCCCGCTAAATTTAACAGAAAAATGTATCTTCGCTTAATTCTGACAGAAAGTGCTGCTTGTTACAAACCCCATCAAATACTATGTAGCATCTTCATTTAATTACAGTAAGTACAGAACTACCACACGTTCTGTACTTACCGGCCTTGGTCAGCATGATCAAGTTTGTATAACTTTTCTTCTTTTAATATCCTCTGTGCCTCTAGTACCCTCTGGCACTATAAAAAATAAAATTGATAAAATAACTAGGCCTGGTGATGTTTTTTTATTTGTTTCGCACACCTTTTGCACACAGGCAAAGGCTCTGCCCTGTGCAGTTCTAGAAGGAATGGTGTAAGGCGCACAATGCAGTTAGCGCGACGGACAAGAGACTGTCGGTTTTTCTCGTTTCTTTTTCATGTAGTCGACACGTTGTGTTTGAAACTACTAGGGTGGTGGAATGTGCTCATTTTGGACAACAACTTAGACTAAAATTTTGTTTTTTTACAGCAATAGCTGTTATGGTGGGCTCTTTTCCCCACTGGAAATCACATCCATTGTTGATATTACAGTTGTGGTTGTTGTAGTTGGCATTCTGGGGCATTCATTGTCGACGTTGCCAAATCCCTGAAAAAGATTGTCTGCCGCCCACGAGAATTGAAACCTGGGTCTGCTGCGTGTGAAGCGGAGGCGTTACCACTGAAATACACCGCAGTGTTAACAACCTGCCCTATACAGTGGAATCTCTTTAATTCAAACTAACATGCAGGTCCTGTCCTGTGTGTTTCTAGGAAGGAAACTCCGGATAATTCAAGCTTTGCATTATTCAAATAAGGTTTTGGTCCACCTCAGACTCAAATTAATGAGATTCTACTGTACTTATGGTTTTTGTAGCACGTAATGCCCACTGCACATGCTCTGGAAAATAAAATGGTCGATAACAAAATGTCATTGTAGCACTGTCAGTGCCAAAAGCTCATGCCGGGAGATGTGCTTTCGCACTCTCCGGAACAAAAAAGAAACAAAACCGTTCGGAACAAGATGGTCAGGGGTCTATTTTTTTGTTTCGAATGCTTTTGTTGACGCACCTCACGATGCGTGAACGCGGCGCCGATGCCCGACTACTTCGCCTTGATGCGTCGCACCTATCGCTGTGACTGTGCCGTGGATTAACACAGGACTGCTTAATTTTTAACACCCTGTCTGAGAAAGAAAGGGAAAAAGCACCGACATGTTTTTACAGCGGAGCTGTTAAGGGCTAGGTTCCCCAGGATCGTGTCCGGTACCAAAAAAATGTCGACACAAATGTACACAAACCTCTGGATAGCTACGGCGGCAACCAGACAACCAGTGATTGCATGGTCGCTCATAGATGGTGGCAACCTTTCCAGCTATTTTAGAAGAATGGATAGTTAGGCGAGTTGGTGGAAATTGTGAAAAACGGATGAGGACAAAGAAGAAACACACGTGAGGAGTACGTCACGTGCGTTTCTTCTTCGTCCTCGTCCATTTTGCGCGCTGTTTCTTACACTCTTATCAGTTTCAATTCGGACTCGCGATAGGTCGGCCGCATGCCCTTTCTTTGGGGAAAGAAGACCGGGTGCGGAAGGAGTGGCGACGTACGCAGCAGCACGAATGGTTCCGCAACCGCCACGAAGCCACTGTCGCCTCGAGTTCCACTGCGTCGAGCGCTTCAGATTCCCTTGCGACAGGAGAGCACATCGCTCGTCTGGAAAGCCGCCGCCGAGAACAGAAGCTACAGCTCCGCTGCACTTCCTTCTTCACCAAAGTAAAAAAGGCTGAAAGTTTGTTTTTTTTTTTTTTTTTTTTTTTTACATTGTATTGCTCGGTGCACGTGCATATCCCCTGTGAAAGCACAACAATGACGAATCTGGCAATATGAGCCAGTCAAAGCAACAATCTAGTACCAGTCGCCTCGTAACAAGCTGCAATGAAACGCCTTTGGCAAAAATTTGGGTGTTTGTTATAAATGGGTTTCACTATACGGGGATTCCTCCACTCTCGCGCGACCTCTGCCGCACACAGATGCTGGTGACTCAGGGCTGCGGAGAGAGTCCCCACGGTAGCCCCCTCCGACTGGTTACATCTCGCTCCGAGACCTCGAGTCCGATGGACCAGCAGTCTGCGACCCCCGAGTGTCCGGCGGGCGATGCCATCTGCGACGGCCCAGCCGTGGTCTCTTCCCTTCTGGGCCCGCCCTCTGGATCGACGCGTCTGGAAGTGCCTGTGCTCCTGCCCCCCTGTGAGGGGTCGGTCAACTTGTTGCCTTCGCCTCCCAGGTGAGTGCACGACCGCGGGTTCTCGAACCAGGTTCCCCGCAACCACCCTTGCGCGTTCTCCGAGCTCCGAATTTTTCTCGCCTGTCCCAGCCCCCGAGCGAAGCATCCTTCCAGGATGCTTCGCTCATTCCACTGTACAGGGGGCGCTCCCCTGTACAGTGGAATTTCGACACGTTTTTCACAGGAACCGAAAAAATAAGCTGTGTCGTCTGAATATCGTACTACCCGAAACGGGCTCCAAATGGTAATAAAATATGCATGCATGGTAAAAGAAGACTTGCCTTGATCGTTCTGGTAAGCGCAGTGAGCACGTAATGTGTCGTGCGTGTATTATGCGTGCATATCAACTAACTATGTTAGGTTGTGGGAAGCTTTGGGTTGTTTCGGATGTGCTGCTCTAGAGCACTGCACAGGCCTAGTTATTGAGTTTCGGCCCGGCCCGGGCCGACCGACTCTTAGGTAGGAATCCCGCCGGGATTCCTACCTAATCAGGCCCGGTAAGAGCCCAAGGCATGCCTCATCTCTTAAATTCAAAGCTGTTATTGGGAGGTGTTGGTGCATTTGATTTGTTTAGCCTATAATTGGTATAGAAAACACTGTCAAAACGTTATGAGTCTGCATAAAAATGTGAATGTCATCATGGAGATCTTAATGGCATTCATTCAAAAGATGAAAAGTTTCAAGACATAATAGAACATATATAAACTGGAATATAGGTCGACCCCCTAATTTATAAGTTGCAAAAAGCAAAAAAAAAGCTTTTATGGCAAGAAAATGCAACCTTACCTGGGTAACAAAATTGGCCAAGTATACGGGAAGATGAGAAAACACTGCGCATTTATTTAATTGCTTCGCACGCAATAAAACAGGAAGTGCGCGAGTGTTACTACTCAAAATCTTCAGAACCCTCGTCTGACGACGAGTTCCCAAATGCAATTCAAAGGGACGATGCTTTCCCTTTGAATTGCCCCTTCGAGAGCCCGGAGGCACGAGCAACCTTGTTGGCTTTCGTACGGACGCACTCCGACGTCACAGGTAGCGATCTGGCGCGCAGATCCCGAATAAAATTTGACACCTTTGTTTCCGATTCGGGTTACACCGCAGTCCTTTCATGTCTTAGTCTTGCTGCACGCCGCCAGTTTTTGTCTCTGGCTTCGCCAGTAGTGTAGGCTTCTGAACTCTCGCTGCGCTGCAAGATTCCCGTGGATCTTTGCATAGGCGATCCCTTTCTTCTTGAAGGCTACCGTGAACTGCCTTCTGCTTCCACTTATTATTACTTCGGGAGCGGCAATGGTAGATGCAACAAACCAAGGAGCACAAGTGAAAGTGAATCGTGACCATCGTGACAAGTGGGCGAGTGCCAGGCGATTGCAAAAGGAAAACAAGACGGCGGCCTCAGCCCCCCGGTGTTGCGAGATTATTTTTGTTTTTCCGCTAATGACCGTTATATAAAACGAGCGTCGACTTTTTCAGGTTCATTTTCAAAAGTAAATCCAGCTTATATTCCGGTTTATACGGTATACAAGTCGCAGATTCTATGCAGTCCAGTATGAACTAAAGTCATGATGGATTAAACATTTTCAGGTCCATTTTCAGCGTGTTTCCGGGCTCCAGTCAGGCCCGGGCCTGGAAACAATTTGTACTACTTGGCCTGGGCCCTGCCCTGGTCCGGAAACAACCTGTGCTACCCATTCAGGCCCAGGCTTTTGGGTCGGCCCGGCCCTAAGCAGAGCTCTACTATGCATGCACTACACACTCTTGAGATCTCCATGTTCGGCAGAATGCTCGAGACAAGTTTAAGTTAATGAAATAACCGCAAAGGGAGGAGGTTTATTGCCTTCTTTACTCTCTCAATATATTATTGTCTTAAATTCTGACGTACGCCCGCCGTGTATGGTTTAAATATTTCATCAAGTAAAGAATGTGGGAAAGGGAGCTGAAAACCTCCCCTTGCGGCCCCTGTTCCTTCTGACACCACCGGGTGTACAAGGGCTGTTCAGGGTTGCTTTGTCCATAAGAAACCTCCAAACAGGTACAGCACGGTGAGATTTGTGGAAGACGTTAATCTCAACTTTTTTTAATATCTCTTGCTCAGATTGATGCGTTAGATGCATGCGCAGCAGTTCCAGCCATCGCAACAGTGAGCAATGTGTCTGTAGTTGGGAGGAGCTGTACACAATCAAATTTCTGGGGAAGGAAAACATTAGACCAGCTGAAATTTTGAGGACGTGGCGAGCACAGTATAGGAAAGAAACGTCGTGGACGAGAGTACACGAACGGTATCAGTGGTCTGGCAATGGACAACAACTGGTGACAAATGAACCGCACGGATGCGTTCGTTCGACTGCAGTCACGCAGCCCAGTTCTTTGTGTGCCAAGGAAAGGGGGGGGCTGCCAAAACGATGGGTACGGTGCCTGAACTCGCATGGGTAATACTAGGGAAAACTGACCTAGCGTCATGCGTGTCGGACTTTTCCTACCATCTTTAAGAACAGAAGTCCTGGTCAACCTCGAACGACCCTCATAAGTCATTTTTTGGGGCTTAATGGATGACCGTTCTTTTCGCACTGGTAAATGGCGTTGGCTGCTGTCCGGCTTGTCCTGAGCAGCCGCCATTCACTATCAGGCATTAAAATTACAGGATATTTGTATTTAAAGCAATACCATTATGTGGGAACCCTTGTGGAGCTTCTTTGCCAGTGCTGATTTGACCGCACGACATTGCAATGTCGTGCATTGTCATTTTGTCACGTGACATCACATTGTCGCTTGACGTTCCGGTGCACTGTGATGCAACAGTGTCTCATGCCGTCGCAGCGTCACGTGATGTTGGGGTGTCGCAACATCATAGCGTCATTTGACATGCTCTCGAATTTATTCCATTTTAGTATACTAAATCTGAAGAATTTGATTATAGGCGCTTTTTACGGCAGCAGCTTGTTACACGCGAACTGCGTCGTAACCGGCGTTTGACGAAAACGGATCGTAGTTCTGCCATGACCGCAAGTGGCCAAATAAGAAACTGACGGCAAGCCACACCCCCCCCCCCCCCCCCCCTCCCTCCCCCCGCAGCGACCTGGGGGAGAGTCCAACGGGGGAGTGCCAGAAGCCGTGCTGCATGAGCGAGACGTCCTTTTCCGAGGAGTCTAGCAACGAGGCCCGCAGCAACGGAGAGCTCAAGCCTCCCGTGAGGTCGCCCTCCGAGGTCGAGCTCTGCCTGAACGAGGGAGATGACCAGTTCGACGAGGAGTCCCTCAATGTCGGCGGATGTGCCGCTGCGCCCAAGCCAAAAGGTGCCGTGCACACGGTCTGAAGCGAAGACCGGCGGTGGCGTTGCGCCGTCGCACGACCTCGACTTGCGGAAGGAGTGGTGCAGCATTCGACAGGTCGCCGAGTTGCACGGCAGCGTCGGGGCGCTGATCGAGTTGCACGGCGACAACGTTGTGGCACCGGTCGGGATGTGGGACTACGGTGTTGCGATGTCAGTCAAGTTGGGTCGTGCAACGAGGGTTGCGGCGTCAATCGAGTTGCACATTAACGGCGATGCGGCGTTAGTCAAGTTGCGCAACGAGTGTTGCCGTGTCTGTAGAGCCTCGCGACTTAGCAGCATTGGTCGAGTTGCGCAACAACGGTGCTGCGGCGTCGGGCACGTTGTGAAACAAGTGGTTGAGTTGAGCAACAGCAATTTTGCGATGTCACTAGAGCAATGCCGTGGCTACAGGCTATTGTCGTGACACTGACGGAGGAAATTAGCAGTGGCATTGCGATGTTGTCGAGACGACGCTGCCACAGTACCACTGCAGTGCTGCTCAACAAAAGGAGCAATAGCGTCATCGGCAATGTAGAGTACACTGACAATGTTAGTGCGCCTTGCGCAAAGCTGCAGTGTTGGTCACGCATGGCACTGGTACTGTTGCAGCGTCAATCAAGCGTAGCAACGGAAAGGTTGTAGACTGGTTTGTGAAGGTGTAGCAAAAGTGTTGTGTCATGAGTGGGTTGCGGTCGCCGAGTGTTTATGGAAGTCGTCGTCAGGTCGCACTGGTAGACTTTTTAACATAACTTTAGAATAGTGCAGAGAATGCAGTGGTTAGAAGTACTGACAACGTAACTAAAAAAATCTGTAAAGCGTCGGGAGTCGCGACACTAGTTTCCTCCCGTTGACTAGAATCGATGGTCGTTGCGGTTCTTGCGTTGTGAAGCACGACTGGATGTTCGCAAACAGCCTTCGCTCGTTTTAATGTCTGGCACACAGCTGGAATCCAGCCTTCCTATCTATAGCGCTTCGGTGGCACGTTGGAAATAAACTTCCAAGGCGACCTCTGGGAGCCGGCCGGAGTTTTGGGTGTTCGTAACCCACAGGCAAAGTGTAGTCGGAAGTGGCCCGACGTCACCCTAGGATCCTTTTTTCTCGATGGCACATTTTCTTTTGCCACATTTGTACACTCCGGCAGCGTTCGTACGCTTGCAATGTCCACACAGGTGACGGTAGTACAAATCGACGAGAGCTCTAGTAGCGTCCAGCGAGTTTTTGTCGGTGGACGTTTGTTTTTATTACATCACTCTTGCACTGCTCACGACGATGTTTGTTGAGCATCCACCTGAGATTGTGTCCTTTCTTAAGGTGCACAAGAGTTGGTGGTCGTAACCCCACGTAAACGTGCACACCAGCCAAAAATGTCACGGCGTAGAAGCACGAACCTGACGTCTGGAAGAAGTCGGCAATTGGAAAGTGAGAGTAATAGTGCCAAGTATGCACAGTGTAACCTCAACGACCTTGAATTGACGTGTTCTACCAAAACCGCTCCGTAGTCTAGGTTCCAAATCGTACACGAGTGTGTGTGATTATTGATTGCATAATTAACCAACACAAGTGGGCAGCGAAGGAGGTGCACTAAGTTAGATCCTCTTTTTGTTAGCGTACTTAAGTAAAAAGCGCTGTTTGATCTGTGCTACAATATTTGCTGTTCTGGCATGTATCGTCGTTGGGAAGCAAACAAATGCTTATAACCTTCTTTTTTTTTGCATTAGCATGGAATTATTGGGTGAAAAGTGGATTAAACTTCTGTTGTGGGTTGTCTCCAAATATTTCTCAATGTTAGACTTCCCCTTCCAGTGAGATTTTGCCATATATTTATTTTCATACTAAGCGGCCAGGGTTCTTTGGGCTCTCCTTGGCTTAGCTTTTTTTTTTTGTGGTTTCATGTTTTGAGAATTTTTTTATGTTTGCATGTTCCGAATTGGGGGGGGGGGGGGGGGGAGGGGGGGGGGGGGCAAGGGGCAAGGCAAACAATTGGCAAAAAATATCTTAACGGGTTTATTAATGACCTTTCTATGACAGTTCCACGAACATAATCTTCCTGAACTCCTCATTAAAATTTTTGAAGGGCTAGTCACTGGTTCCAGTGAGTCGTTCTTATAGAGACCTTGGTATATGGTTTAGCACCCTGTGATCTTAATCCCACTTGAACTCCCGAAGCCTAGCATTCAGCACCCGATATTTAGCGTGGCGCTACGAAGGTCATACATCGGAGACATGGCTTTTCAGGAGAACAACCTCTAACTAGGTCTGCTCGAGAGAAAACGAGATTTTGAAGGTTAGCTGAGACATCAACCTCGCCGAAATTCCCTGTCCGTAACCGTATTTTAGCTCTCCGCAAACAACTTCTTGTAGGGGTGGGACGTACATATCTCTAATCACTGTTGCAGCTTAGACTATCCAGATTCAGTTACTGCTCTATTTGATGATGTCCCTCTCTCGCCAATGAAAAGGTGGAGCTGGAATGGAACCCCGTTGGGACTCTAGCGCCTTTTCTTAAGATATGTTTTCGATCCGTCGTGGAGCACAGAGGCCAAAGTGTGTATTGTGCTCTTGTAGCGCCCGAAGCCATAGTACTTGTATTGAGTCTCTGATCTCCCGCACGTGCAGTGTCAAGCATGCCTCTGGTTCGTTCTAAGAGTGGATGCACTGGACTATGCCACCATAGCTGCCCACAGAATGAGTATGGCAAGGCATCTCTTTCGGTTGCCTGGCCTCCGGCATGCGTTCGTTGCTTTTCTTATGCGACATTGAAGTGTTGTCAAAGGTAAGAAGCTCACACAGGAGACGGAGCAACTGAAAGACCTCCCTGCGGTTTGAGTTCTGTCGGGGGCCATAGTATGCGGCTAGTATATTGCAAGTGTATTAGCTGTGTTGCCAAGAGTACACCTGCCATGTACCAAGAGTATTGCGATGCTGGTAACACCCGAGAAACGTTTCGGGGATTGTGTTTCATCGGGTCTGCCAGCTTACGCTCGATGTTGGTCGCCATCTAGTAGCTTCTATGCATGGCGCATGTTCGTCTGCTTCTTGAGCAAAGGTTGCAGTGACAACAGAACGCCGACCTCTGATTGGCTCGGATTGGAAGGATAGTGAGTAGACCTCAAGGTAGCTAGCAAAAAGGTCTACCCACCATTCCTTCATCACAGCCAATCGGAGTTTGTCTCTTTGACGTCGGTGCAACCCCTGCGCAAGAAGCAGACGAACTTGCGCTCTGCATAGTCTGTTTCAGGTTAAGAATAGTGGGACCAGCTCCTCCCCAAAGCCCTCTACTCTTTCCACCTTAGAGGAGGAATTGCTGGAGGGGAGAGGAGGAATCCATTAATTATGGTGAGCAGAGAGCTTTGAGGGAGAGTCTTGCCCCACTATTCTCAACCCACAGCAGACGATGGCGTCGATACTTCATCGAGCAGACGGCAGTGGAGTGGGATGTAAAGTCGGGCCGTCGTCTTTGCAGATGTGTGGCGCGCACGGTCGAATGCATTTCTCCGAGCGAGCAGCACGCAGTTGAGGCGCCCGTTCATGGCAGACTCTTCGTGGATTTGACGACGGCGTTTACCGTCATCGCTTCCGTATCTCGCAATAAAACAGAAGTGTTTGTCGTTCCTTCAAAGTCGGGGGTGGGGGGGGGGGGAGGGGGCAGGCAAGGGCAAGGGGGGAGGGGGGGTTTTCTGTCGCCTTGATGGAACTCCGAGACGACTGAAGGTGACTGAGTGGAACAGAATCGCTGCACGTCCTTCAAGTTTTCTAATTTATTTTACGTAGGATCTTTTGCGAGATGTGAAAAAAGTGTTTGGGTTGTTTGTGCGTTTCTTTGAGTTGTTCCTGCGAGCTTTGTTAATTTCTGAATGCCCTCATTCAAGGTTGTTTGACGTCTTCGAAAGCTGCACAACAATGGCGTACGTGCAGTTTATTTGGGTTCCTGTGGCTGCAAGTGCAGGAATATGCCTATTAATCGAGACTCCTTTCGTGTATCGAAAATATGCTTTTAAACATTCATCGCTATGCTATATAGCCATCTTTTGGTGGTGTATAGGTTCTTGATGGAGGGCATTGAAACTAAATAGGTGGTACAGTGCTTTTTTGTGCAAATGGAGTGTGCTTGAGAATTTGTGTTGATTCAGATAATGTAATATTTTGTGGGGTTTTGGGTGGAAATGTGTTTGTTTGCTTTAAAGTTTTTTTTATCTTTTTCTGGTATAGTAGTACTTGCTCATAAATTCCAGAGGCCCGAGGATTTTGACAGTAAGATAAGGGACGCAAGATTTGTGTAGGATTGTACAAACTGCGGTGACCACACGTCACCCACCCTGTAAATATCGGTTAACATTCGCAAAGAAGTCGGATTAAACCGTTTTGCATATCTACACTCCTGTGTCGGACTTTTCTTCTTTGACTTCTTTGCAGTTTCTCCTTTATCCCCTGCACCAAAGGCACTATATTTTGATGTTTTCAAATACTGATGAGAACAAAAATGGTATCTTATAAAATGTAATTTGCCACTTTTTTTTTTTTTTTTTGCATTTGGAACCATATTATATTGTAAACCATTGTTTACAATGTGAAAACCTCAATCTCATTTTTCCTCTAGTCTAGACTCTACTCAAGTCATTGAGTAGAGTCTAGTGAATCTAGACTCTACTCAATGAGCTTCAGATTGAATCTTCTCTCAATTGAGAGAAGATTCACTCAATTGAGTAAATCTTCATAATGACATTACTCGCCGCAGCGAGCTAGGGAGTTTATTGATAAGAGTTTAAATCTTCAATCTCTAGGAATAATCACTGCTTTGTAATCAATAAAATCCACAGTGTACTTCCAATCACTCAATTTTAAGCAGATGAAGTTCTGTTGTCGTGCTACACCGTTTCACCTACAACTTTTCTTTTGTGTTTTTTTTTTTTTTTTTTTAAGTGGTGTGGAGAGAGAGACAAAAATTAGGGTTGTGGAGAATCATAAAACAGTTCAGTTTGAGTTAACATAACCTTCAGCAGACGGCGTTCACACCAACGTTGGTTCACACGCCATCTGCTAAAAGCCCGGCTCGCTGCATGACAAACCGTCGCAAGCAAGATCGACCGACTGCAAGTTTGCCTGTATCGTCATGAACATCTGAGCTAAATCTAGAATGTCAACATTGCACGAGGCATTTACTTCAACTGTGGTGCCTCAATGGGCCACGGCATCGTTAGTTTCTGGATTGTTTTCAAAACATACAGGACTGGAATGTGAAGTGGCGCTGACTAGTCCACCTTAGCATCATTTCGTATGGTTCAACGAGGTTTTACTTTATTTTACAGCAGTGCCTTTGTTTCTGCCTATGAAAGTTGCCACATCATGATTAATGGTGCCTCGCTACAATCAAGTTTGAACCACTGATCTAGCTCTCCGACAAAGTTTAGTGGCAAAGATCAGTGGTTCGAACGCAACACCTGTTGGTGTTGAGGGTACATGTGCTATGAGCCGAAGGGCCAATCAAACAGCGATAGAGGCACAACGTCATGGCGTGCACTCTGCAGTTGATAGGACCAGTCGGTGTTCGCCGTCTCTCTCTGCGTGCTCCTCCGCCATATAATCTTATCAAGCGCAGAGAGCACGCCATGACGTTGTGCCTCTGTCGCTGTTTGATTGGCCCTTCGGCTCATAACATCGGCCGCGCTCGGACCGAAGCTGAAACGAAGTATACGCCTCGCAAGTGGGCTCATTTTCGTCTTCTGCGCATGAGAAAGGAAGTAGTGGTGACGTCAGAACGCTGAGTCCTGATTGGCTGATCGCGACCCCCTATTGAGCGTCGTCTGCTCCTTTGCAACGTCGTCTGCTCGCAACCAGAGGTCGGCATTTTAGGTCGCCCTCACTCACCCTCACCCTCACAGCCACACTCACCTAAGCCCCTCACTCACCCTCACCCTCACAGCTACACTCACCTTCAGCCCCTCACTCATCCTCACCCTCACAGTCACACTCACCTTCAGCCCTTTACTCACCCTCACTGAACCTCACGGCCCTCACGACCCTCACGCCCCTCACCGCCCCTCACCGCCCTCACGGCCCTCACCGCCCTCACCGCCCTCACCGCCCTCACCGCCCTCACCGCCCTTACGGCCCTCACGGCCCTCACCGCCCTCACCGCCCTCACGGCCCTCACCGCCCTCACGGCCCTCACGGCCCTCACGCACTCACGGCCCTCACGCACTCACGCCACTCACCGGCCTCACCGCCCTCACGCCACTCACCGCCCTCACGCCACTCACTGCCCTCACGCCACTCACTGCCCTCACGCCACTCACCGCCCTCACGACACTCACACCCCTCACGCGCCTCACGCACTCATGGCCCTCACGCCACTCGGGCCAGCTTCAGATGGGGCAATTTCGCCCAGAAACTTTACGTCGCAACACCAGCAACACGGGCCGCCCGCGATCACATGCCATCGTCATCATAAAATTTTATTTTTCTTGCACTATTTAGACGCAATTACGCGTTATAAACGTGTTTTTATGCATTTAAATCTCGTTAAGAATACTAATGCACCTTTCTGAAACAGTTTATTTTCAAACAAAACGATAGATTTCAAACCAGAACCAAGTCTTTCGGTGTCATCATCACCGGCACGAGGTATCAGGTGAAAATTTTGCGTCCCTGATTGGATGCAGCCGCTGCAAACGTATTCGAATTGCTCCGAGTTGCTTGCTTAGTTCGAGCCGGACCCGATTTCAGCAATTCGTGTCGATCTAGGGAAAGCTAAAGAACAACCCGCCATTAACACCAAAATTGCTGAGAAAGATGCTCGATCTGAAGGGCGCCTCCCGCACTCGCCGCCCTCACGCACTCATGGCCCTCACACACCTCATGCACTCACCGCCCTCACGGCCCTCACGCCCCTCACTCACTCACCACCCTCACACCACTCACGCACTCATGGCCCTCAC